CTCTAATGTCATAGGCCTAAGTTAATACAGACTTTTCCATCCCTGGGCAGTTATTGTGGTCAAGGGACTACAAGACTGACATAGACAGAGTCTACGCTGGAGCTGGGGTCAGTGGATCCTGACGACTTGTGTTTTCCTAATGTGGAAGAGAAAGAAAGAAAAACAAAAAAGAAAGGAAGAAAGTAAGAAAAAGAACACTTTTCTATTTGACTTTTTAGAGAGATGGTTAAATTTGAGATTCAGAAGCCTCTCCAGTGACCTCATGAAGCATACCATCAACTCCTGAGGGAGAGAACTAACCAGGAGGAAGGATTGTGGCTAGGTATCAGAATTTGTGTCTAGAGTAAGGGCTCAATCAGTTACTAGGATATGCCCCAGGTCAGCTCCATGGAATCCTGAAGTTTTAGGAAGAAGAAGGGCCCTTGGTGTAAAGAGAATGAGTAGTTTCAGTAACATCAGAGGGACCCAGTGTACCAAGCACCTGACTTTGAGAGTCCCAATGAAATGACATTTAGCACTGCATTCCTAGGCATCCTGACACTGACTGAACTCCAGAGCATCAGAGGCATCAATGATAGAATAAGGAACCCAATGGATGCAATAATGTCCTCAAGGACTCTAGAAAACCCTAGGAAATGATTACATAGGTCTTATAACCAGCAGTGGAAGGCGCAACTTGAGGTTGCTGGCTCTGCAGCTGAGGAGTTCTCCTCAGAGATCTGTGCTCATATACAGCCAGGATCTTGACTTATGCTGCAGGAAAAAATTTCAGGATGAATCAGTATGAATCAAAGTTAGAGTTTTTAAAAATGTTTATTTATCACTTTAATTTTATGTGTATGAGTGTATTGTCTGCATGTACATAGGTGCACCAGTGTCATTCGGTGCTCATGGAGGTCAGAAGAAGGCATCAGTTTCTTCTGGAACTGGAGTTACAGATGGTTGTTAGCTGCCATGTGGGTTCTGGGAATCAAACTTGGGTCCTCTGCAAAAGCAGCCAGTGCTCTTAACCACTGAGCTGTCTCTCCCAGCCCCAAAGTTGGAGTTTATTAAGCAAAGGAAAGTATATACTCAGAGAGAGAGAGAGAGAGAGAGAGAGAGAGAGAGAGATCTGAGTGTTGGCATTGAGAACGATATACACTTAATAATAGCCATGTATGTGGTTTTGTGGTTTTTGAAATTACAGTATTCAAAAGATGTATTCTATCACTCTAGAACTGAATTTTTAAACTAAGGTAAAATGTCTGAAGTATCCCTAAGAAAGAGTGTATAATCTCTGGAAGGGTAGTCTTTGCAGCGGTTTGATCTGTTGTGTTGAAATTGTTGGCTTCTATCTAGCGAGAGGCATAAACTTTACCCAGGAGAGTAAAGGTTCTTTTTCTTTTTCACATCCTCATTTTTTTTTTGGTCTTTTTGAGACAGGGTCTCCCTGTAGCCCCAGCTGTCCTGGAACTCACTATGTAGACCAGGCTGGCCTTGAACTCACAGAGATCCCCCCGCCTCTGCCTTCCGAGTACTGGGATTAAAGGCATGTGCCACCACGCCTGGCCATATCCTCTTTTTTAAAAAAAATATTTTATTTATTATTTTTATATGTATGAGTGTATTGCCTACATGTATGTGAGTGCACCTGTGTTGTGCACTGCTGTGGAGGTCAAAACAGGGCATTGGATTCCCCTGGAACTGGCGTTAAGGACGGTTCGTAGCCACCATGTGAGTGCTGGGAATCAAACCTGGGTCCTCTGCAAGAGCAGTCAGTGCTCTTAACCACTGAGCCATCTCTCCAGCCCCTTTCACATCCTCTTAATTTTCCATGTCTTTTTGTAACTGTCCCAACAGGAACAAAGATATCCTAAAAAGAGACACTTGTGCCCCACCTGGATGTCAGATGGTTGAAATAACTGCCCCCTCATTGGAATTTCCCTAAAAATCTTATGCTGGGGAAGGAAAAGGCTGAAGCCTGGTGCTGGCCAAAGAAGGCACTTTCCTCTCTGCAGCATTGCTAAGCCATGTTACAGTTATACCTGAATAAGGAAGCACCCAGACTCAGCTTTTAGTTTTAAGGCCGAGTGGACCCAAACTCTGAGAACCACCTGTTCCTTCAGATGTCTCACAGAACTGTGCTCTCGAGTTGGGTTTCACTGATGCAGAATTTCCAGCATCAATTGGGGAAGTAGAAGCTAGGATCCACTCTCATCAGAGACTCTTGCCCTTTGAATCCTAGGTCTAAAATACTCATACACACAATATCGAGCACCTTCCTCGGTTATTCTCACTGTTTTCAATGAGAACAGCACATCACTTTCAGTTCTTTGATGTTAAACAAGCACACTCACATTCATTCACTGTCTAGGGCTTGTGAACGTATTATTAGCATACAAACCCACTCTGAATTTTTATATCTTTGCTATGTTTTCTTGCAAACCCCAGTGTAAGGTAGTTACAGTAGATGCTGTATCCTTATTTGAAAGATAAGAAAAATGTGGCAAAGTGGGGTCCTGAGGGATTGTCATATGCCCAAGCTACAGGAGCACATGGCTCAGTGAGCTTGTTTACATTATAAACAGAAGATTTTTGGTGCAAGGTTAATTATTAGTCCAGATTCTGTCCATATTGTAAGTCATTCCTATACCTCCCAGAAAGTGATTTTACATAGTTATGAAACTTTTCAGGCCACTTTGCAGGATGGATTTGGGCCAAGACAATGATGGGTCAGTGATGGGCAAGACCACACCTAGACTAGAACCACTCAGTTATGTATATCTCCTCCCTCCGGTTTAAGCCTAACTTCATGCCAGGATGACAAAGATGGACTTGGGGGAAGTAATCACTGGACCTTTGCTCCTCTTCCCACTGTGGCCACACTGAATAAATCTCCTTTCTCTACTTTTTACTATTACTTGTCTCTTTAACTGACATATTGAGGATGGGTATCCGAGCCTACCTTGTTAGGGCTGCCAGTGCCCAGGGCTTTTTGGTTATTTTATGGTCTTTTTGAGACAGGATCTTCTTGTATCTAGCTATGTAAATCAACTGGCCTTGATCTCATATACCTCTGCCTCCAGAGGGAGTGCTTGAATTAAAGGCTTAAAGACCTGTGTGTCACCATGCCTAGCATGTGCCCAGGTTTTGACCCTAATAACTCTGGTAACATTTCTATCCGGTCTTAGTATGGGACTGTTGCCTTAGTGTGTATATGTGAAGGAAGCCATGAAGCGTTAATGTTTGTGGTATATGTGATCGTGATTATATCCACAAGGTTCTGTGCCCTGAGAGATTAGGGTTTCATAAGTCTTGTGGGAAAGAGGCCAGTCTTTGTCCAGATTCCTGTTTCTCATCTCAAGAGAACTCATCTGAAGTGGGCTTCAGCTCATCAAGCCCTGTTGAGCTTGTGAACATAATGTTATTAGTATATAAACTCACTCTGCATTTTTATAATACCTTTGCTGTTTTCTCGCAAACCCCAGTATAAGATAGTTATAGTAGATACTGTATCCCCATTTTTCAGATGAGAAAAATGAGGCACATACACAAGATGAGCAAACAAAAGTCATACATGGTGGGTGCTGGGATCAGGACTCTGATCACTTAACACTGTTAACTCCAGATTTTCTTTCTCACCATTTCTGGAATGTACTCATAATATACACAGTCAGATTTCCTGATTACAAACTGCTTTCCTTCCTACTAAAATATTCTTGGCAAGACAGTGACTATTCACTCTCATTCAAGTGACAACTCCTATGTCTTCTGTTTAGTAAAAACCCAGTCCTGGTATTTGATAACTGGCCTACAAAGGCAGAAGGGTCCTAGAGATAGAGGGGAAAAAAATCAGACTAACCCAGGATTACATGGAGCACAATATATTGGGAACCTACAGGCAGAAGTGTGGCCAGGGTAGTAGCAGGTCAAGGGGATCCTTGTACCCAAAGGCAGGAGGAAGAAGTGATAAGTTAAGATTGACAAAAGTAAGCCATGAGCAACATACCCATGGCAATTAAGAAATAGTCTATCAGTGGGATATATAACACACATAGTTTTTAATGACTTTGATAATCTTGTAGGGTTTAGGATACGTGACAAGGTCACCTGGTAATCAAAATGATGGTTACAGAAGAGATAGCTATTGTCTTGTCAACTGGGATCTCTGCAGTCTCTTTGGAGCACTCTTGGTGCTGTGTGTTTCGTAAGTCTATCCACCATGTGTTGGAGAAGCGCTTCTCCCCATCCCGGGCAACCCAGGTCTAATTCTTCCATCTAGACAACCGGGAACAGAAATACAGAGCAAGTTTTAACTATCTGTCTTTCAATAATGAAGTAGGAATGGAAACTATTTGAGCAAGTATATTTGCCAGGGAACTTGGAAATAAGGATGGCATGACTGTGGCTCCCAAGACATTAGCCATCTCTGGGGAACTAGGGAGAGAACACATTGTTTATTCCGAAAATGATTTGTTGTTTTCTGACCCTGGTCACACAGTGAGGTTTTAAACTTGGAATGAAAAATGTGGGGGTTTCCCCCTTTGTTCAGGGTTCTGAGTCTATAAATCCTACTTAATATTGAAGATGTAAGTCCGAGTTTCTTTACTTACAACTGTTGGCAAAGAGGGGTTGAGTCTCTAAGATTCTTGCCTGCTCTGAATGTCTAGGCCTCCGCTGTAAAAACAAGATCTGTAACCTATCCTCCAATAAGCCCATGCCCAGGAAGACTGAGCTGCCCTGGCCATTGGTTGCCTGAGCTGCCGAGACATTGCACTTCCGTGATCATACCCGTTTATATGATTTATGATTCTGCCCTTTATGAAGATGAGTACAGTTCTCAGGAATGTGTGGTATCCCAGCAAACAGCAACATTAAAAGAACACATTTTGATTGGGTGCTTGACAGCTGCCCAAGTTACAGAAAAACAGCAGTGTCAGAACAACAGTTAGCTTGAGATCTCTGGCTAAGCCAACCTTGGAAACTGTGCTATGTGCCAGCGCAGGACAGAACATTCGTTGTATATTTCAGAAGATTTATTTCATTATTGTGTATAAAATTGTTTTACTATTTTTGTCACAATTTGTAAACATAAGTAGAGTTTAATTTGGACCATTACTTTGAGATTCATTATTTCATAATTCTTAGAGCTGCTTTGGAGGCCAATATGGAGATTCAACAAAATGTGGTTCAAACATTCTATAGATGGTGTCACTCAAACTCCATGTTCTTGTGTCTGGAATGCATAAGACTAATTGGAGAGGTGTCCAAATTCTCACTCTTCAAGGGTACCACAGACTCCCCGAAGTAGGCTGCTACTAATTCTGGCCCTTCAAGACTGGTGAACAGAAGGGAAACTGAGAACAACCCAGACCTGGATCTTGTGTGGCTCAGGGAGGAAATGGCCCTGATACATTTCCTCATTGGTAGTGCTATTAGCTGACGGGATGGCTGAAGCTGAGGTCAGCCAGTGTTCTTCATCCAATAGCAGCCATCTTCCAGGCTCTGTTCTATTTACTGAGCAAGACAGGTGGGCCTTCTTCCTCCTCCTGTGCTGCTGGCAGGTGTCCTCTGCACCACACGAATGTTTTCTTGGGTTTGTGGAAGCAAAGCAGGTGCGATGTGCTGAGATGACCATTCCTTCTTGGGGGCATCATTTGCTTCCCCTAAAAGAATGTTGGGGGTTTCATTATAAGAACAATATTGAAATAACAGTGATCCCTTATGTTTTCAAAGCTCTGTTCTTTGTGCCGTTCCCTTATTTTTCTAGCAATAACAAATTACCAAAGCAAACCAAGTACCTTCTTATTATGACTAGGGACCAATTTGCTGGCAGTGGCCTCAGGCCAGGGATCCATTGTACCCACAATCTCCCTCAGGAGAGCCAGAAAATTCAAGGCTATTTTTCAGAAGAGTGATATAATTTCAAGTTCAGTAGTACAGAGATTTCGAGGGAGCTTTATTAGAAAAACTGCAAGGTAAACTTAGAGTACTGACTGAGGTGTAATTTTTACAGACAGCCTCAATCCTAGTACTATTGCCACTTGATTCCATAAAAGATAAGTTTTAATTCCAGAAAAAAGGAAAGGATGTAGGTTCAATAAAATAAAATCCTGTAAGTCAATCAAATTCAGTGCTATGATTAGTTTACTGTGTTACTTTTTTATTTTTCTCAGTCTAATGGACAAATTTTTCTTAATTTCTACATTTTGATGTGATATGTTGAACAAAGATATCCAAGGCTCAGTGTGATGTGTTACAGTCCAGGGTAGTAGAGTAGGATGGAGCTTGGACATAGCAGTGACCTCCAGAAGACTGCTTTGTGGGCTAATGGTGAAGAGGACTTAGAAATATTGGTGAATTTTTGTTTCTATGAAGCTGGAGATGGGCCTTTAAGGAGGCCACCCACTTCCATCCCATGCCTGCACCAGTCTGCCTAACTGAAGCTTTGTTCTCTTTCCTAGTCAGCTCCAGAACAATCATTCTTCAGCACAGTTCTCAAGAAGACAAATCAGAAACCTGTGTGCCAGCTTTGGTTGAGACCAGTAGGCTCATGTGATGAATGAAGAAACTGAGGGTAAGAGAGGCCATATGATTTGACAGGTGAAACAGGGACCCACATTCAGGTTTCCTCTATTCCTCACCACTGTGGAGTGTCTACTAACTCCATTGATGGACTGACAAGCATTGCCTGTGTGTTGCATTGAAATGTTGATGTCTCCCTATTGGCTAGTTACTCCAATGGGCAGGGCCTGACTCGGAGCATGGACTTCGAAGGGGCTGCTGGGAGCCATCTTGGGACAGAAGCCATGAGCTGTGGGTGGCATGCATGGTGTGGGGGACTCACAGCCAGCCGCTCAACAACTGAAGGACAGAATGGACTAACTCTCGTGGACCTGGGGCGATCGCTGTCCCCGGAGGCATGAGCGAATGCTAGCAGTGACTGTGGGAGATAAGGCAGGCTCTGAGTCAAGGCACGGGCCTAGGCCCTGGGTACTCATTCCTTTGTAAGTTAATAAACACACCTAAAATATATTATATGGTTTGTCTGATCACGCAGGAGACCCAGAGGGAATTCAGGCTACAGTTGGTCACAGAAAAGAGGCAGACATGGAAATAATTCCTTAAAGGAAGAATAAAGGATGGGAAGGAGATAGAGGATGAAGGAGAAGTGAATAAGTCACAAGGGAATGGTGACTCCATACTTCTTCATCCACCCTTGAGGCTATAGAACACCAGGCAGGCAACTACTTCCCTTCCTTCTTCGAGAAAGTTCAGAAGCTCAGTGGCTTGTGGGAAGACCAGTTCAGCTTCTGGTAAGTACCAGGTCATTCTGGAAGAAAACATTAGAAGGAAAGCAAACCTGTTGGTGAACAGTGAAGAAATGTCTGAGATGAGCTGGGCTGTTTGAGCCATCTCCTTTCTCTCCTGGCTGGAGACATAAAAATCATGCAATTAAGTGCTGGGAAGCTGCCTCTAGGGCTCTTCAGTACTAGGATGGGGAAGGACACCAAGGAACAAGGACATTCAGTGAACTTTACATCCCTAAAAATGGACTGTTTCTAGGAAACCACAATATGGGTGTTCTACAGTGACTTGAAAATAGACAGGACTGCATCTGGGATGAATTTGCAGTCTTTCATGCCCTCTGACTCTGAGTAGCCTCTGGATTTCTTGAGTTTTTTATATAGTCTGCTTAGGAGTATCCCTGGGTCTATCCAATTTGAATCCAAGGATACAGAGTCATATAGTGGATACCATATTAGAATCACCCAACCCTAAAGTCCAGGACCAGCTAGACCCAACACCTTCTTCCCCACCTGATCTATCTCCATTTCATAAGGTTTCCAAATCCGAGTTCAAACGTGGGTCTGAACAAATCCTGGAGGGAAACCTAGAACTTCTTTAGGACACGGAACTTTGGGTATAAGTGTCCTGGAATGATCTTGGGGTCCTTCGTACCCATCTGTTAAACACAGTGTGATATGGGCGTGCCAAGGAAAGTTTTTTTCCCCAAGGAACTACCTGCTTCCCATTTCATCCTCTGGCTGTGTGTCATGAGCTGAGTTATGTTCCCCTCCTAATCCTCCAAACTCATAGGCTAAGTCATGACCCCATTAACATCAGAATGTGACTGCATTTGGAGACAGGCCTTTAAACAGGTAATTAGGGTGAAATGATGATTAGGATGGTTCCCTAATCCATCCTTAGTAGTGTCTCTCTAAGAAGAAGCAATTAGGAACAGACATGTACAGAGGGAGGACGGTGTGAAGATAACCAAGGAGTGAGGCCTAAGAAGACAACTCTCATCTCCATGTGTTGATCTCACATTTGAAGAACTGTCAGGAAATTTCTGTTGTTGAATCCAACCAGTCTGTGGTTTGACTGTGCCCGAGCTAGGAACATTTTTACTAGCTGGAGGTATGGCTAGTTCAGCCACCTATCCGTCCCTGTGAATCATGGGGTGGGATGGGTGGCCTGGAAAGGCTGAGTGAGCTATCAGTGGGTAGAGACAGTGTTTACCCTAGCCCATGCACTCAGGTCCAAGTGAAGGTCCGTTTCAGCAAAATGACCTTCAAGTTTCAAATACTTGATCTAGGCAACAATTGTTTGTCATGATTCACATGCCAGAGGTGTTGTTTAGGGCAGCACTGGTGGGAGATAGGCTACTCGGCTGTGTAGCCCTTAAATTAGTGGTTTTTTAAATACTAGAACTTCAAAACTTTTTTAAATTTAGATTTTTTGAGAATTTCATACACATCATTTCTACCCCTTTCTCTCCCCTATTCATATCTCCCCTATTCAAGTCATTGTCTCCAACTCCTTCTCAATTGCTTGACCTCGTCTTAATTATTATTGTTGCACATATATAAATTTGTATATAAATAAACAACCTATAGGCCCATTTAGTGGTGCTAGTGTGTACATGTGTTTAGGCTGACCACCTGGGCTGGAAAACCTATCAGGAGCTCCTCCTTGGAGAACATTGATTCTTTCTCTCAGCAGCCATTGATTGCCTGAAGTCCTTCGTCTAGAGGTACAAGCTTATGAAATTTCCCCATCCATACTGGCTTGCCCACTGTTTTTTTTTTTTAAATCTATATTATTATTGTTATTATCATCATTATAATTATTATTATTTTTTTGAAACAAGGTCTCCCTGTAGCCCCAGCTGACCTGGAACTCACTATGTAGACTAGGCTGGTCTCAATGTCACAGAGATTCATGTTTCTGCCTTCTGAATACTGGGATTAAGGGCATGCATCACTATGTCCAGCCTGGCATATCAACTGCTAACTGTTGTTGTCATTATTATATAGGTCTGTTTAGACAGCCATATGGTTGAGATTTCATGGGTACATCTTCCCTATCATGTCTGGAAGACATTATCCAGAAGCAGGCATCCTGGTCATCTGGCTCTTACAATCTTTCCACACACACCCCTTCCACAACAATGCTCCCTGAACCTTAGAGATTACATTTTAGATATATCAATTGGAACTCTGCACCCCATGATCACTTATTCTCTGTATTTCAATCAGTTATGGCTCTCTGTAATGGCCTCCATCTGCTGTTTAAAAAAAAAAAGGTCTCTTTAATGAAGGGTGAGAGCTATATTTACCTGTGGGCATAAGGATAAGTATTTAGAATACAGTTAGAAATTGTACTGATTTAGGGAAATGGCAGTAGACGAGTCTCCTCTAGAGTTTACATCTTCTCTACCCATGGGTGTTTGGCTAGGCTTGTAGTACCAGCCATGAATTCCCTCTCATTGAACAGACCTTAAGTCAATTACACAAGCTGTGGGTTACCCTCAAGAAAAAAAAAGTGCCATTATTGCACTATTATGCATATCTTGCTGGGCTGATCATTGTTGTGATTTGTAGGTTTTACAGCTGAGTAGGACTATTGATTGCTTTTCTCTTGGCAGTTCCACAGCACCTTCAGATACTATGAGGCAGGGAGGAAGCTTCCAGGTCAGTTCTAGTTCAATTCTTCCAAGTCCTGTGATTTTTAAAGGCCACCTAAAAGTAGAGTTTGGAAGATGGCTCTGTGGGTAAAGTGCTTGCTGTGCACTTTGAGTTGGATTACCAGCATCTACACAGTGGTGCTCACCTGGAATCCCAGCACTGGGGTAGCAGAGACAGGAACATCCCTGGAGCTGGCTGGTCAGTCAGTCGAGCTGACTGAGCAAACTGCAGGTCAGTGAAAGACCTTGTCTCTAAAACTAAAGTGGTAAGGGGCTGAAGAGATGACTCAGCAGGTAAGAGCAATGGCTGGTCTTGCAGAGGACCAGGATTCAATTCCCAGCACCCACATGGCAGCTAATAACTGTCTGTAATTCCAGTTCCAGGAGATCCGACACGTTCTTCTGACCTCCATCGGCATTGCATGACATGGGTGCACTTATGTACATGCAGGGAATACATTCATACACATACAATTAAAAAATAATAAATAAAATATATTAAAAGATAAAGTGGCGAGAGATTGAGGAAGAGACCTGACTTCAACATCTGGCCTCCACACACACACTTGAACATATACAAACACATACATAAAATAAACATAAAATAAAAGTCAGCTAAATGCAAGTTTTAGGTCATTGTTTTTGTGGTGATGGGATTGAACCCAGGGCCAGCTGGTGACTCATTCAGGCTTTCCCTTAGTTTCATCAGCTGTGCCATGTACAGCGGACATGGAAAGGGATGAGTGACTCCCCTATTGTTAAAATCCTTGCTTTTGGATCCCTTTTAAAAATGTGAAGCATAATTTTGGGTTTTGAGAACACACAAAGTCATGCAGGCTTAAAACAGAGCTGAGGAATCTCGCCTCTTTTCCAGGGCAGCAGCCACAGACACACGTGGTCTCCAGCAGAGCCTGCGGAGGACAAATGATTCCCATATGAAGAGAAGTTTCTGGCTGGACAAGAAATAGGGAGGAGGCGTCTGAGGCTTCGGAACTGCAGCCCTGAGCCTGAGTAATCTAGCCGCCTTGTCACTGTGACTGGCAGGTGGCCAACCCTGAGGAGCCCAGTCCTGAGTAACTGAGCTACCTCAAGAGAGAGGAAATAGTTAACATCTTAGGGCAGATGCAGTCATCTAGGCGTGGCTTTCTGGTCTGATTTAGGCTGCACAGATTCCAGGACAAGGGGCAGAGGAAGGACGGCTTGGTCTTCAGAACCTCCAGATGGCTGAATTGGATCTAATTGCTCCAGGGTCACTGCCTGGGGTCGCTGTTCACCCCCTGGCTTCTCTCTGTTCAGACTCTGGGTCAGCCAGCCCAGTAGAAGAAGATGCAGGCTCCCTCGAAAAGTCAGGGGAGGAGACTGAGGGGCAGAACAGTGACCAGGCAGAGCTGACGGGGGCTCCTAGTGATGAGGGAGAGGAGGAGATCCTGTGTGACTTCTGTCTTGGGGCCAGTAGAGTACCAGCAGTGAAGTCTTGTCTGACCTGCATGGTAAATTACTGTGAGGAGCACCTACGGCCACACCAGGAGAACAGCAAACTGCACAGTCACCAGCTGACTGAACCCACAAAGGACCAAGATCTACGCACCTGCCCAGCCCACCACTGCCCTCTGGTCCTCTTCTGCCACTCGGATCAGCAATGCATCTGCCAGGAATGCGGCCAGGAGGAACACAGGGGCCACAGCACTGTCTCCTTGGAGGCAGCCCGAAAGAGCAAGGAGGTAAGTGTGGGGTCTGTCCGTCTGGAGAGGGCAGTGGGAGATGGCGCCCCCAGAGGGAGGCCAAGCATGCTGCTGGTCCTGGCTCTGCTGATGACACTTTGTGCTCTGAGTTCTCAGAAAAGGGCTTTAGTGTTAGTACCTGGGGTCAGCCTGGTATAACTATCTATTGTTTTGGAAACAGAAGCAGGTCACTCTGTCCCCATCTGTTTCCATGCTGCTTTGCCATCTCGACCTGTTCTCTGCTTGGGAACTTCCTCCCGTTTCACATTAGCATTTGGTAATGAGTGCTTGGGTGTGGGATGCAGAAGTTGCAGGGCTCAGAAGGGTGAAATTTCCCTCTGGCAGAGTCTGTGAGGCATGCTTACTATCAACTCGTGAAATGTAAACCTTGGCAGAAATTCATGAGAAAAGAATAAACCTTTCCCCTTATTTCGTTTTTTCTTTTTACTCCAATAGAACGCCAGTACAAAGTGCCCCACTAGAGATAACCAGTGAAATCTGAGAGCTTGAAAAATGCTAAGATAACAGAATTTGAAATGCATACCTAGGTTACTGCCAAGGATGACTTAACTTACAGAAAAGAAAAGTTCCTTAACAGACAGGGCTATCAAGTGTGACAGTAGAAATAGTTCAAAACATGAAATTTTACTTCCATCAGATAAGGAAACTATTTCTAGAATACTTAGCTTACCTTTGTCCTAAAGTCCAGAGCCCAGACAAGACCTTGGGAATTGATTTAGCAACTTCTATGTTTCTCCTACTTTGACTGTTACCGGACAATTGGCTTTGGCCTCACCAGTCTTGGTTCACATTCAAGGCCCTGCCCACGGCTGGCAGGTTCACAGTCATTTTGTGGCATATCTTCCTGGGCAGTAAATGAAAGAGATGTCTGGGCAAGGGGTTTTCCCTGACAGCACCCCTCCTCTGTGTCTGTGCTCAGAGGCAGATGCTCTTCAGTCCTGGTGGGCCTTGTTCTGTAAAGCTCTGCATTCCAGATACCAGTGACTCACCATTTCCGGCCTGGGAAACCACTTGTCAAGTGGGTATAGGGGTTTTCCTGCCAGGAAAGTACGTAAATCAATAAATAGGTCAAAGGGAAAGGCTCCACATAACAGGAAAATAGCTCTTGATGCACAGTGCTGCTTCAAAATGATTTTTGTGGATTTTTAACATCCAATATGCCAATAATTAATAGATGAGGGCTCTACTTATCCCTATCACACTTGTTCAATTTTGTACAGTTAATGAGGTCATTGGGTGAGGCACAGACGTTTCTGGAATGCTGTCTTATTGGAGAAACATTAAGAAAGACTCTCAATTCACGATTTACAAACTTTTTATGTATTTATTCATTTGGGTATGTGTTCTCATGGGTGTGTGAACGCATGAGGAGGTCACAGGTTAATCTTGGGTGTCATTCTTCAGGAGCTGTCCGCATATTTTTAACAATTCTGCATTCTTGAGCTATTTATACAGGTATATGATGAAATATGAATAGGCCTACCCTCTATTTCCCACTACCAACTTCTCCCATATCCCTCCCAACATGTCCCTCTCCTGACTTCACGTCTTTTTTATTTCTTTTGTGGATAACCACTAAATCCAGTTAGTGCCCGTATGTGCATGGGTGTGTATGGGTGTGTAGCCATCCACTGGAACACAAGAATCCTACAGTGGCCATATCCTCCAAAAGAATCAGTCTCCTTCCTCCAGCAACTATTAACTGTCAATAGCTCCTAGGTAAGGGTGGGGCCTGGAGCCAGTTTTTTTTTTTTTTTTTTTTTTTTGAGGTAGGGCCTCTAATTTAGCCTGGTGCTCACTCATTAGGCTAAGCTTGCTGGCCAGAGAGATCCAGGGATTTACCTTCTTCTCCCTTCTCTGCCTCCCCAGCATTGGTTTATAAGTGAGGGTCACCACACCCGATTTTGTGGGTGCTGGGGGTCGACTTAGGTTCTCGTGCTTTTACAGCAAGCTCTTTACTGACTGAGCTATTTAATCTTACTTTAAAAAATATTAAAACATTTTCTCATGCAAAACCTAGTATATATATATATACATATATATATATATATGAGATACTTAAGTAGAGTATATTGTTATTCTCTTTGGACATAGCATCTGAATTTAACTATTTTTAAAAAGGGACACTTCATGCATGAAGATGTTAGGAAACAATCTCTACCAAATAACGCAACAGAACTGAATAGGAAAGGAGGTCCTCCATCCATTCCAGTGCCCACATCTCCTCCTTTGGTTGGACCATCTACGTTGTTTCCTTTGAGGGGGTCTTTTTTTTGACACAGGGTATCCCTGAAACCCCAGTTGGCCTAGAATTCACTATGTAGACCAGGCTGGTCTCCATCTCACAGAGATCCATTTGTCTCTACCTCCTGAGTGGTGGGATTAAAGGTGTGCACCACCATGCCCAGCTCTACATTGTTTCCTTTAGAAATGCTATGTGTAGTCCATCACAGATACAATATAAATTTAAGTACAGACTGCCTACTATACCCCAGAGGCTTGAATCATGGTAATTTGGGCAGGAGGAGCAGTGTGGAGTGTGAGCAGAGCCCTAGATGAAGTCATTTTAGGAGGGACCTATGTGAGCCCTGCTGGGTGACAGGTATAGGTGAGTTTCTTTGCTCAAAAGCAGTCATAGCAATAGGTACAGGGTTACAGCCTGTATCATGGACCCCTCTGCTTTCTGGTCTGCTTCAAAGAGCTGCACCCTTTGTGTCCCATGTCCTTGTAGTCAGTCCAGAGCTCAAGTTTACTCTGTAGGCACAGCTACATTCTAAGTAGCTCCACCTGCTTTGACTCCTCTAAGTAGGAGTCAAAAGATTTCTTGCAAGGAGCCTAAGGGACCTGCCTAGAAGACAGCATGTTGATGAGGGAAGTGCCACCAGGATTGTTTGAAAGCGTTATAAGATGTATTTAAGGTCCCAGAAGTCCACTGTTCTTTTCAGTTAGCCCAAGCCTCCTGCATTTACTGAAGGTCACTTTGGAGCTAGTGAAACGCTAATAGCTCAGACAAGCCTGTTGTGTACAAGAAATGGTAAAGTCGAGGTCAGTTGGGAATAACAGCAGCTGAGATCCAGCTTAGGCTTGTCAGAGTGACATTTCTGTCAACCCAATGAGCCCTTTCTGAAGAGCCCATGGTTGCCACCCTTTAGCCAGGTGGGCGAAAACTGAGCTTTGAGAGCTCGGGTGTCTTTAATCCCTTGTTTCATCATGTTGAACGTTCAGAGACCAGCTTTTCCTAATAGGGACCTCAGTACTTCTCTTCACTCTAGCAGCTTCTGGAGACTTCTTTGGCCTTAAAAGTAGCTGCTCTTGTCTGCTACCTGCTAACTCTTTTTACCTCAAAATCTCAGGCCTACTTCCAAGAAAATGAACACACATTCTCTCTCTCTCTCTCTCTCTCTCTCTCTCTCTCTCTCTCTAATCTGGGCTCCTGTGACCATCTTTGCTATTTGCTGTGCTCCACAAAGTGCATGTGGTTCTTTTCTATTCTTCAGGCTTTTTACACATCCAGAGTATATCCTATAGGTTAAGAGACACACTGGGTTGCACCGTGTGCTCTCAGAGAACTTGGACTCAAGAAGGTACAGCACATACCGTGATTCCAAATGTTGCAAGTTTGAAGGAGGGAGCTGGCCTGAGAACAAAGTCAGGCCAATGCTCCTAAGGAGAGAAGGCCTGATCTAAGTCTCGTTTCAGGCCTCTGAAGACCACTAGTGCCAGACCACTGTCTTCAAGCTTAGCATTGGTTCCAGGAAGGTCAGGACTAGATTCTGATTGCATACAGTCTCCACAAAGAGAAAGAATCAAGTATCTAAGAGTTAGATGTTTTTGTGTTTATCTGGAGACCTGTTAACCAGCATCACTCAGTCTGTTTACTGGCAGCCAATAGGTAGATATGTGGCCACTCAGGATAAGAATATCTTACAAAAATTCCATGCCTTGGAGTTAGTATTATGTAACTTGTTTTCTCATATGTACTAGACTATAAGCCTTCCAAGATGCAGGAGTGTGTGGGGTGTTTGACCCTACTGGCATGCAGCAGGCTCTGACCCATTCACTCAGGAATGGAGTCAGAGTCTGGGCAAAACTCTCATGATATCAAAAGCAAAATCTACAGAGGGCTAGCTTCATATGGTACTGACATATCTAGATTTTCCTTCTTCCTCCTCCTCTCCCTCCTCCCCCTTTTTCTTCTTCCTCTTCCTCTTCTTCTGGAGACATGGTGTTACTATGCAATCCAGCTTGGCTTTTAACTCACTGTCTTCTTGCCTCAGCTTCTCAAAGTCTGGGATTATAAGTTTGTACCACCACTGCGGACTTCACACCTCTGTTCTTACTCCCTTCTGTTTCTATTTGCATCTCAAATCCATTCCCAGCCACCCACGAAACTCTGGATGCCCTCTAGAGACAAAAAGAACACTTCTGTTGACATATTCATGTGGCCTTGTAGCAGAGGAGAAATTAAATGACTTGACAAGACCCCACTGCCAGCAAGCAATAGGTCTTCAGACCCAAAACAGTATCCTTTGCACAATGGCTGCCACTGCCTTACTAAAGTGGGCAGGCCTCTATGTGGTCCTTGCTAGAAGGCTATCAGTGCTCCCAGGCCCCACTGTCCTGTTCTCAGGCAGGCATACCATGGCCTGAAATTTGTGCAGGGCTACTATCTAGGAGAACACCAACGTCAGAGTCTAAGGCAACCCATCATTTTCTAGGAACAGGAATAACTGGAGAGACAAGGCTCTAAAGCGGCCCCACCTTTTGTGGTGCTTGGGAGTGTCTTCCTTTGTGGTGACTCACTCAGAAAGGTCCCCATTTGGTGTTTAGGCATCCCTTTCTCCTTTTATGGTTGTCTGAAGACAGAGAAGAGAAGCTCCTTGCTGGGTACTCCAGGTTACCTGGGATGACTGTTTTAACACCTACTCATGGCACTGCAGTTTAGATGCTGCACTGCAAGAACCAGGTTGCTAGGGTGTGCTCTGTTGTATCTTCCAATACCTTCAAATAAGCAGTTACTGTCCCCCACAACTCCCCTCTGGAATGGGTCACTGCACAAGATTCTAAGGTATCCCCCCATAGGCCAGGCACTCCTCCCCTCCTTCTTTTCCCCATGCCCTACTCTGGGGTACGGGGTCTCAAGTATCAAGGATGAGACATTACTGGGGCTCCCGCAGCTCCACAGCAGTGACCTAGTGCCTGAGCAGAGGTTGCCTGCCTGCCCTCCACAGGATTCCAGTGTTCTGCCTGCAGCTGTTCTTCACTCTGGCAGGAGGGGTAGGGAAGGTATGGAACACCCCAAAGCTTCAAGGGAAAACAGCCAGACACTTAATTTATGACTTGAGAGGTCTATAAGGGCATAATGAATCATAGTTTTAAACATAGAAGCTATTAAAGGCAGTGAAAGCTGTTTATTTAACAGTGTTATTCTTTCTTCTATTGCTATCTCATGCCCTTCTGGAAGGAGAAAGTGGCAGTAGTGCCCTTGGAGTTTGCAAAGGCTTAGGTCCTCTATGATGACAGACTTTTGGGCAGAAGAAGGTGTTCTCTGAGTCCCACGAGACAAGAGTGAAGCTAGGGTCAAGGCAGTCAGTCTCAGGCAGGCACTTGCTTTGGCTGGGGCAGGGGTGGAGTGGAGAGGGCAGAACCTGCCTCCAGGTGCAAACATGGGGTATGAATGGAAGACAATCACAGTAGCAAGAAGGGCAGTGACTGAGATGGTAACATTAAAGATGAAATCACTGACAGTTATGTGCATTTACAGTGTTCCTAGCACTACCATGTTCTCATTAGCATACACTATCTCTTTTAATTCATTTTCTTATAACCTGAGGAAGTTGGTACTCTATCCCCATCTCCCAGGTAAAGAAATGAATGTTTATAGACATTAAGTTGTGAAGAAACAAGAAATGTGTAGGTGTCAGTTGCTTTTCTTGGTTCTGTGACCAAACAACTGACAAGAAGCGAGTTAAGAAAGGTACAGTTACAGTTCATCAAGGTGGGAAGGCATGGAGCCCGGAGCATGAGACAGCTGGTCACATTACACCTGCAGTCAGGAAGCAGTGAGCAGATAGGAAGTGGAGCTCTGTCATAAAACCTCAACATCAGTGCTTAGTAACCTAATTCTTCCATCAAGGCTCTACCTCCGAGGGTATTACAATCTTCTAAAACAGTGCTATCAGCTGGGGAGCAAGTGTTCAAACACATGAGCTTATAGGAGACATTCCAGATTTATACTACAACATTCTACCCCAGCCCCCATAGGCACGTGGCCATCTCATAATGGAAAATGCATTTGGTCCAAGTCTCCATTGTCTGTAATAGTTCCAGTACGGTTCAAATGTCCAAAGTCTCTTTTGAGACACAAGGCAATCTCTTAACCATGAGCCCCTATATTAAAAAAAAAAAAAAAAAGTTACATAATGGCAATAAACGATGGCACAGAATAAACATTCTCATTTCAAAAGGGAAGAATGGGGACATAGCAAGGAAAAATCAAACCAAAGTAAGTTCAAAACTCAGAGAGGAAAACACCAAATCCTGATGCTCCATGCTCAGGATCTAGGGTTTGTGATGGAATTGTCTGGATTCCAAAGGTACCCCTATTCCGCTGTCTGCAGCACACACGGACTTCCTCTTGGGCAGGCTCCACTCCATTCCTGCAGTTTCCTCAGCAGAGGAGGTTGCATGATTCTGGCATATCCACAATGGCAACTTGTCTTCACCTTCTCATCTTCACACAGTGGCCTCTCAGGGCCTCCTGGTAGGGAAAGTACCTTGCCACATACTGCCTGCCTCAGCAGCTTCTGGAACCTTGGTGCAAGCCTCCATGACCCCCTTACTACTCTTGCATCTTTCATGCCTGCAAAGCCAGTCCTTTGTAGGTGATACTGTCAAGCTCTACTGCTAGTTCAAAATGTAGCCTGGCCCCCTTGAATGATAGCCATATTGGCTTCTGCATGCCTTGGTTGCTGAATTTTCAAAAACACTTCTCTAGGCAATTGTTTCTGAGCAGAGAACTCTCTTATGTGACATTCTCAGTTGAGGGCCTCTCCTTTAAAATATGTTTGCATTTTTCACAAATTGGACCCTTCAGTGGGTGGTCTTACAATCAAGACACTTTTGCTATATCCCAGTGCAGAGCATGAGGTTTCTCATGGGGCCAGTCCCTTTAACAGTTACAGGTGTTTTAGAATCTACCTTGCCCGCAGCTTTAAATTACTATTTTCTTTATTACTTCCAAAGTTGCATTTTTTTTTTATATCTTCCTGCTCCATTTGTTGCTCTCTTTCACTGTAGACCCGGGTAAGAGTGGTAACCATGACACAGTCTGAGTGCTCGTGTATCTTGAGATCTCCTTTACCAAACAAATTAGTCCAATGCTTTTTACCCTGACTTAGGTCCTCAGAATGCAGGCAGAATATGGCCAGATTCTTTCCCAGAGTGTGACATAGATGACCTCTAACCCAGTATTCATGCCCTGTATACAAGCTGATTCAAGCTGCATTCAGTTCCGGGAGGATGCTGGCACCCATCTGACCCTTTGTGCCTCTAGGCCGACCTCTGAGATCAGTTTTAAAGTCATATTCTTTCCAGAGAAGCAAGGCAGGGATGTGAGGGATAAAAAGTGCCATTGCTTTTGAGGACCATCTGTATGCACTGGATTCCTCCCTCCTTAATTCTTTCCTTCCTCCTTCTTAGACTGACCTTCGGTGTATGCAGCTGGGCCTGGAGCAGAAACTCAAGTTGAATGAAAATGCCATTGTGAGGCTCCAAGCCAACCATAAGTCTGTTTTGGTAAGACTGGTCTGGGTTACCTCTCTGGCTTCAGCATACCTGGTTGCTACTGCAGGGTCAGCCAGTCCCATTTGGGACTGTGCGACATAGGTTAAAGCTTTAGCGAGGTTCTCAACAAGTGAACGTGGTAGGCGCAGAGGGCCACACTATGAGGCAACTTCATCTTGTTGTCAGGGTTCGTTATCAAATTAGCTTAAGTTTGAAAACTGGCAAGTGATTTAATTTTTAACACTATAGCTTAGAACCAAGACTGAGTTCTATATGTACTTTTCTTCCCTCCCCTCCCCTCTCCTCCCCTCCCTTCCCTCTCTTACTTCCTTCCTTTTTTTCTTGAGACAGTTTCACATTGTAGCCTAGACTGGCCTGGAACTCACTATGTAGCTCAAGGCGGCCCTGTACTCCCAGCAATCTTCCTACTTCAGCCCCCCAAGTACTGGGATTACAGGCATACATCACATCAAGCTTACAGATGCTTTCTTAGCCAGAAAAGTGCATATGTACGTGTGTGTGTGTGTGTGTGTGTGTGTGTGTGTGTGTGTGTAGGTATTCACGGCTCCAAGCACCCTTGGCTTCTTCTATCATGGAAGGGTGGTCTGTGTGTGCACTGTATCAGTCTTACATGCTGGAATCTGGAAAAAGAGTCAAGAACTGCTAGATTAGTAAATGATACGTGATAAGGCCAATGGTATGCTAGACTCCTTAGCATTAGTCTCTTCTAGTTTGTGTTTCCTTTCCAAATAGACTCTGTGTAGATCCAAGAAGTTCCATAAATACCTCTCATTGGTGACAATCCCATATCCACCACTCGGAAGAGAATGCAGGACAGCTAGCTACCTTATGACATTAAGTCAGCAGGATCATCTTGTACACTGAGAATGAATGATTCTATCCGTATCTATCTGCCCATTGTTCATCCATCTTTTATCTACCCACTCATTTATCCATTCACCTACCCATCTACTTATCCACATGTCCAGCCAGTCATCCATCCATCCATCCATTCATTCTAATCTAGTATCCAACTGAATTTCTGTCTCCTGAGTGTTCATAACTAGCTGTTGAAGGATGAAACCTTTCTTATCCACAATTGTTAGTTACAGGCCTTCTAGCTACTGTGCTTTCTGTCTCTCAGAAATCAGGACACACCCCCTATAGTCTCTCCCTCTCATACACAGAGTTGATACCTCTCCCTCTCCCTTGCAGTTTCAGGATAAGTTTATGATTCTGTCTAGCGCTTGCCTCCAGGCCTTTTGGCCATAGCTAGGTCAGGCTAGGTCAAATGGTACGGCACTTACCCCTGACCCCAATGAAAACCTATAGGGCAGAGGAGCTACCTTTGTTCTAAGGATCTGAAGGAACTGAAGTACCTAGAGGCTCCCGTATCTCCCTTCAGGACCCTCATGCCTATGGCCAAGATGCTATAGCTTCCCTGATATTCCAGGAGTTAAAGGCTCTCTCTCCTCTTAAGACCCCATCATGTTGCCTCTGGTATGATGCTTTATCTCTCTGAAAGCTCTCCCACTTTAAGGCCTGATCATGGCTGTCTGTGGTCATGAGGATCTCTCCTGATACAGTTCATCTGAAGGGTAACCTTATGTCAGCTTCTTCTCTACAGAACTCGTTTTCTTTGTTATACTAATAATACCTTACTAAAGAAACAAAGATAAGTTTCCCTTTAAAGTCTCAGACATTTGATTTGCAAGCTTTGGATGATTTAGAGAATCACACAGAACATGTTATTTTCTTCTGACTCTAATTTCAGATACTTTGACCCCTAATTAGTTCTCATAATGACATGGTGACCAGGGAGATACTTACTGCAATGACCATCATATATGAGGGATGTGGAGACACACAGAGATGTTGTCTCTACATATTGACTGGGTGGGAGAATCTGGGCTTGCTGCTCCCTTGACTAAGAATGATTCCGTATACTGTCAAGTATGTGCATCATTCTCAAAATTTTAAGCCATTAACGACTATCTCCTCTGAAATGTTCTTGGCTTCTCTCTGTACTTGGTTTACTTGTCATCATCTGGGTAGTAATTAACATCCTTCACACATTCCATTCACAAGAAAATAAGAAACATTTCTCAATTGGTAGGTTTAGAGAGGAGAGACCATAGCAGGTTTCTCATCCTTCTGTCATCTTTCCTCGGGATGGCCTCTGAGGAGGGAGGAGGGATATGACCTTGAATTTTGTCTCACATAATTGTGCTTCTATGAGGAACCTATAGATTGCAATTATGGAGGTTAAATGGATTCTGTTCCTTTCCCCTGATACACTCACATTAATCATCACATCTTTTCCTGTCCCTGCTTTTTAGGGTGCTTTTATGACTCTGTTGGGAGGTGGCCATAAGTCAGAGAAACTAAAGCTAAATAGTCTGGAACATCATTGGTCTTATCAAATACTACTTACTAATCTAGCAGTTCTTTATTCCAGCTTCCAGCACATATGGGTGGTGATGCACATGTAGACCACCCTCCTGTAGCAGAAGAAGCCAAAGGCACATGAAATTCCTGGAGCTCCGACTAAACACCTCTTTTACACATGCAACCCCAACACACACATACACACACACACATACACACACCAAAAAACAAAACAAAAACAAAACAACAAAAACTTTTCTCCTGGTTAAGAAAGTATATGAAGTCTGATGTGGTACCCCATTCCTGCAATCCCAGTACTTAGGAGGCCACGGCAGGAGGACTGTTGAGAGTTAGAAGCCAGGATGAATAGGGAATAGGTAGAGCAGGGAGTTCCCACTTGCTTCTATGACTCATGGAACTTGTATACCTATTACTTGATGAGTGGAAGTGTGAATGAGCCAGAGAGCTGGAATGATTTACTTAATGCAGAGCTTGGTTGAAACACCAACAACTCTATTATCTCCCCATCACCCTGCAAAGGTAAGAAGCAAAACTAACCTGTCTTCCAAGGTAAATACCTCCATCTTTTCTTTCATATTTATAAAATTAAAGTATGATTCAACATTTAGATTTAAATCCAGTTATGATGAATTGTCTCAGAACTCACAGCTTTTACAGTGACAGGGAGGCAACACCCGTGAGCAGCTGGTCCTGGAACTGCTTCAGAGGATCAGTATCTTTTGCTTTTGGTTACCTGCTCAGCCGCAACCTGTGCATTTAGTCCACTAGGATACAGGTGGTGCCCACAGTAACCAAAGGCCTAAGTCCTGTCCCTTCTCTGGTCCTGGGGCAGTTGTCAGTTTAATGGTCTGAGCTCTAAAGTCATTTCTGTAACTCCCACAGGCCTACAGCCCGTGGGCTTAAAGTTTTCCTCCCTGATTGTCATGCTGAGTGTGCCAATGTCCCCAGGGAGAGGGCCAGGCTGTGCCTGCTAAGTGGCTGTAAGGCAGCTGTGTTTTCCATTTCAGGCCCTATTTTGAGGCAGTATAGAATGATTGGTCCATGTTCTGTTGCTATAACAAAATGCCCAAGCTGAGTACTTCATATTTTGAGGCAGTATAGAATGATTGGTCCATGTTCTGTTGCTATAACAAAATGCCCAAGCTGAGTACTTCATAAAGGAAAATGAGTTTGTTTAGGTTCAAGAGCATGATGTGAGTTCTGATGAGGACCTCATAGTGGATAACATCATTGTGGTAGGATCCTGTGTGGCAGGGGGTAGATCACATGGCAAGGCAGGAGGTCAGAGTGAGGCCAGGAGAAGCCAGCCTCACTCTTTGTAACAGCTCTCTCCTGAGAACTAACCAGGGTTGGGTCTCAGGGAAACTTCTCAGTTCCTTCTGAGAATGTGGGCAGAGCCCTCCAGGACTCTTGCATTTTCTTCTACCTCAGAGCCTGAAACAGTGGGAGCTAAGCTTCCAGCACAAGGAAGCTTGTTGTGAACCCTGGCAGGGATTGAACACATGGGCCCTGATTTTAGCTGTGTGATTTCGGGAAAAATCACTGAGTTTATTGGTGCCTCTATTTCCTTATCTAAGAGACAGGGAGAACAATAGTAGCTTCCTGTAAGGATTCTTGCTATGAGATAAGATATTTATCACTGTGCTGGGAACACAGTAACATCTACATACCTTGGTTGTTGTGCCACTACAATTTTACATCATCACACAAGTAACCAGATAGGCAGCAGAGGGTCCCAGACTGCCCCTCACACTGCCTGGCTCCTCAAAACTGCCACTCATCCAGAGGCTTTTCTTGGTCTGGGCTGGAAGGGTTTGGAGAAAATCTGCCCTCTGATCTTTCTTAATCCTGTTCCCACAATGTATTTGCTTCTAGCTCTGTCCAGCTGCCCCAGCCTAAGGACACCAACAGTCATGGAAAAACTGACATGCCATGACAGTGTGGGGAAGCTATACACCCTCCCAGAAAGTTCCAGAAGGATGCCACTTGTCTTTTCCCTCCTTCTGCTGTCAGCCACCAGATCAAAGGCTGATGAGACTGGGCTTCTCCCAGGGCTGCATTCCAAGGCCAGGGCTGAACTGGGCAGAGGTCCTTCTGTCATTCCCTCTCATTATCTTTCTTTAAACCTGTAGGCTCCCACAGGCCCATCCTTTCCACCAGGTTCCCTCTTTGGGAGTTGATGCCTCCCAAGCAAGAGAGATGTTCCTGTGCCTTGCCCTGAGATTAGCTGCTTTTACTTCCCTGGGAGGCCTGCCGCCTAGCCCTGGCCCTCCCTTAGGAGGAAAAACAGAAAACAGCAACTGGAGGGTGATTTCAGATGTATGGGGAGTTGGGGGTAAGATGAGTAAGACTGAGGCAGGCCAAGAAAGGACCTTGGGCTATGGGGTAAGGTGTACAGGGAATTAGAGCAAAGGAAATTGTATTCAAGACTTTCTCAGGAATTGCATGCAGTGATATACAAGTACTGGGTACCACTGTTATTGCACTCCCCAGACCTTCTGGGGAACAGTTTGGTAGAGACGTGCTTTTGCCTCAGTCAGTGGTCATGTAAACAAGGCATAATGAAATGCCAAGAAAGTTTGTACAAAAAACCCCAATTGTTTCTTTGCTTCTTGAAATATAATTATGAAGCTTACTGAATGCAGGCACTCCCCTGGTAGAAGTCTGGAAATTTCATTAACAGCCTCAGACTGAGTTGGAAGGAGTCTCAGAGGTTATATAATAATTCTCATAAGACAGATAGGGAGGTCAAGTAAACAATTAGTGTACACCTAGGAAAGTAAATCTGCCTTCTGGGAACCCAGAATCCCCACGGAGCAAAACTGCCTTTTACAGTTGAGCGTTGCTCCCTAATCTATGGGTTTCTTGGGTTCCTGTTTAGGAATGTTGAACCTTAACCAAGTTGGATGCCTCTATATCACAGTCCTGCTTCCTCCCACTCCATCTGCACCAGGTATCCGTGTCAGAGGTGAAGGTGGTGGCTGAAGAGCAGTTTGGGGAGCTCCTCGCAGCAGTGAGGAAGGCCCAGGCCGATGTGATGCTCTTCTTAGAAGAGAAAGAACAGGCTGCTGTGAACCAGGTCAACGGCATCAAGACCCACCTGGAGTACAGGAGTGCAGAGATGGAGAAGAGCAAGCAGGAGCTGGAGAAGTTGGCGGCCATCAGCAACACTGTGCTATTCTTGGAGGTACTGAATCTGGGAGAGGTACCCTGGCTAGTGGAGGAGGGACATCTATGGAGCATCTTCCCTCACTCCACCTAACCTGAGATACACTTATGAATAGGATTGCTCTTTCATAAATGGGGTGCAGAGGGAACTGCAGGAACAGAGAATCAGGTGTTGATTCAGCAGAGTGCAATAGCATAGGAACACTAGAAAAGACGGCTCAGAGTTGGGGAGATCATGGGAGGTGGGTCAAATTCAAGGTGCAGAGGGGACACCATGTGCAAAGACAGAAGTATGAGAAAGCACAGCAGGCTCAAAGAACCAAGGCACTTTGACAGGGATGGGTCATGGGGTGCTGGGTCCACAGTGATGTGAGATGAGGTTGCAGAGCCAGCCAGGCATCCAATTGTAAAGGACATTACGTAGGGAAGCCATGAGAGCAGATAAGTTTGCTTCATGAAACACTGGCAGGTGTGTGTCTTGCATGGGAGGTGAGACTGGAGAGACATGCTGTTTCTCAGTCAGGAATGTGACCACTGGGGTGATTGAGGAAGGCTTAGTAAAGGGAATGGGGCTTTCCCTCTTATAATGTATCATGTACATAGGAGGGATGTGCAGGTAGAGCCAGGTCTAACAACAATGTCATGTTGCAGGTAGGAACACTACCTAGTTCTAGATCTGTCATTAGATACCACTCTGTAGCTTTTAATCAAGTCACAGAACATCTCTGGGCATCAAATTCCTCACTTCCCAAACCAACAGACTGGTGTAATAATTTGCAAGGGTTCTTTCAGCTCAAATATTTCAAAATATAAAATAATTTCTTGCTTCCATTTCTTTGAAAGTTACTTCTAGCCACAGAAAACTAAATAGTTATTGTGAAAAAGCAGAAATACATGAAATTAACAAAAAACAAATCACCTGCAGCCCTAGTATCCACAGACAACCAGAGGCCCTTCCTTCCTTTCTGTAGGTCTGCCTCTGAATGACAGTTCAGCCCTGCTCCAGTCAGTCTGTTCTTTGATGCTTCACTTGCATCTGGGTCTTGATCATGTGTTACATGTTCATAATTCTATAATAGTTTCAGAACTTCAGTGACCTAATGTGATTTATCTATGTGAAAATAACTTTCAAATTCTAAAGCAAAATGCAAAAATAGCAAGTTTATGCATTGGGTTGAATTGACAAGTGTGAGAAACAAAGATCTTCACTTTATAATAAGCACTGGAGATACAGTAGCGAAAGCCAGACAACTTATGACTTTGCAAGGCTGGGTGTCGGCCTAGAATAGTAGGCTTGCTGATTCAGTGCAAAGAATAGGTTTTAAACACTAATGAAAACAAATTCCGGGCTAGAGAGATGGCTTGGCAGTTAAGAACGCTGACTGTTTTTGCAGAAGACTGGGGTTCGAATCCCAGCACCCACATGGCAGCTAACAACTGTCCATAACTCCAGTCCCAGGGGATCCGCCAGCCTCTTCTGCCTTCCTTGGGCATTCATTGCACAACACGGGTGCACTTACCTACATGCAGGCAATACATGCGTACACTTAAAAATAACAAATAAAATATTAAAAGAAAACAAGTCCCTTCCTCCCTTTTCTCTTTGCTGAGTAATCAGGAAGTGCAATCTCCCATGTCATCTGGGTCTTATCTTTCCCTCAGTGGCTTATGCATGCCTTTTTTTTCAATAAAAACCTGTGCATGTTCATATCTTCATTTTACATCCCGTTTCTATTAAAGCTTACCAGATGTATGCTCTTGTAGGCAAACCTGACTATTAGTAATTTTCTACTCTAAACTTCTAGTTTTGGGGGGGGTAGCTTAGTAGAGTATGGGGGTGAATAGCTAGACTAGCAGGCTTAGCAGGGGTCTAGTGTTTTCTGTTCTTTTGTAGCTGGACCTAAGCTGGCTTGAGGCACCTTTCTGAAAATTAACCATCTGAATTTATTTTTTTAAATATTTTATTTATGATTTTTACTTTATGTGTATGAGTGCATTGCCTACGTGTATGTAAGTGCACCTGTGTCATGCAATGCCTGCAAAGGTCAGAAGAGAGCTTTGAAATCCTCTGGAAATGCAGTTTTAGATGGTTGTTAGTTGCCATGAGGGTGCTGAGATTTGAACCTGGGTCCTCTGCAAGAGCAGCCAGTGTTCTTACCGGCTGAGCCATGTCTCTAGCCCCTACTTGCTTTTTTAAAAATTATTGAGCTTGTGTGCATTTAATATAATAGGCCTTAATCAAATTTAGACCCCCTTCCCTCATCTGCACCACCCCCCATATTCCCCCAATTGGATCATGCATTCTATCATATATGTTAAGTCCTATCTGGTCAAGCATTTGTACCCAGATATCCCTCAGTACGAGTTCATCCACTGGAGTCTAGTCAGCCTGTCTAGAGTCACCCCCTTAAAGAAGATCTACTCTCTCCCCCTAACCTAGCAGTAATCAGTTACCAATGGTTCTATGGCTAGGGTTGGGGCCTGCTGCCCATTTTTCTTGTTCTATGCTGGGTTTTTGTCTGATTTATTTGGCAAGGGTCTTGTGCATATTATCACCATCGTTGCAAGTTCATATGAGCAAGTTTCCAGTGGCCTGAAAGCCTCTGTTTCCTTATGTTCATGCACCAACCCTGGCTCTTACAATCTTTCTGTTTTCTCTTCCACAATGGCCCCTGAGTTGTGGGTGGGTGAGGTTTAATATAGGATTTTATTTCTTATACAGGGACTGAGGATTTGTTTGGGAGTCTTTCAAATGCAGCAGCCAGCAGCTCTTCTGTGCTCTGTCACAACTTGTGTTTAAGGTATAAAAGGAGAAAAAGAACCTGGAGAATGACTGAAGCAACAATGTCCTTATTCTTTGGTCCTAGTCTGAGCTGTGCACTGGAGTTGTCCATGGATGTGTATCTTTTGACTTTTAAAAGTCCCCTTTCCCACTTGATTTTGAGAAGACCTATTTCCTTCTTAGGGTCTAGAAGCATAGAACAATGCTGGATACTTTGCGCACACTCTTTTTGCAAGTCATATATTCCCATCAGCCCATTTTACAGATGCAGAAAGGGACACGAGGAGGAGAACTGCCTGATTCAAGAAATACCAAACCCAAAGCAAGGCCTGTTTACTTTTCTGCAGGAATACTGCAAGTTTAAGAAGACTGAAGAAGCTGCCTTCCCCAGTGTTTACATAGGGCTGAAGGACAGACTCTCCGGCATCCGCAAAGTCATCACAGACTCAACTGTACACTTAGTCCAGCTGCTGGAGAACTATAAGGAAAAGCTTCAGGAGTTTGCCAAGGAGGGTAAGGAACTTTCTGGAATGATTGTAGAGGAAAGTGAGAGCCTGGGAAGGGAGGGAAAATGGGCCATTTTCAAAGCCATTCTTTGGCTAGGCATGCTATTAACGGACCCCTCCCTTGATTATAACTGAAATCTGATGAACGTAGAGCAGTCATGTCACACTTGGCTGGCATTTCTCTGACTAGCAGCTCAGGCTGCTGATGTCTGGGTTTTAAGTGAAATCCATGTCACCCCGGGGTCTTTCCCAGCAGGTTTTGTCTGATACACTGGGTGTAGCCCAGGTTCCTAGGCACCAGCCCCTTCTTACTTCCAGAAGCCTGAGGAAGGAACAGCCTGTTCCAGTATTCCTGACCACTAGGACAGGTTTTCATTCATAACTCTCTGATTTCCTAGAGGAGTATGACATCAGAACCCAAGTGTCTGCTGTTGTTCAACACAAGTATAGGACCTCAAAACCTGAGCCCAGAACCAGAGAGGAGTTCCTCCAATGTAAGTCACAAAAGGTTTTTTCTTCCATTCATGTTGATGACTGGGTAAAGCTTTGCTGAAGTAAGAACTACTGTATCTTGTAAAGGATTCAGTCTCTTGTAACCTCTTGCCCATTCCCACATGCTATACTTTAAACCTTTTAATTCTGAAGTGAATTAAAACTTAAAACTTGCAAAAATTGGACAAAGAATTCCTATATACCTACCTATCATTTAGTTTCACCAAAATGCTAACACTTTGCATTAACTATAGCACATTATACAGGAAGGTAGCATTGCTGCAATACTATGAACTATTTTGCAGATTTTTTTTCTGGCCCAAAGCTGAATTCAGGAACACAGATGTTTTCTTGTATCCTAGTTTCAGTTTCTGTTGATGTGACAAAACACTGACCAAAAGCAGCTTAGGGGAGGAGAGGGTTTATTTCATTTTACATCTCTAGGTCATAGTCCATCATAAAGTCAGAGCAGGATTGAAACAGAAACCATGAAAAAAAAAATGTTGCTTGCTGGCTTCCAATCACAAACATGCTTGACTAGCTTTCTTACACAGCACAAGACTACCTGCCTAGGGATGGTGCCACCCACAGTGGGCTAGGCCCTCCTGCATCAATTAAGAGTCAAGGCACACACCACCCACCCACACACCCACACAGCTTGCTCACAGGCCAATCTGATCTAGGAAATTCCTCTGTCAACCTTCCTTTTCAGATGATTCCAGGCTGTGTCAAGTTGACAATTAAAGCTAAATAGGACACCATGTTTCCTTAGTCCTCCCTAATCTGGGTCAGTCCCTCAAGTCTTTCTTTACTTTTAATGATATTGGCATTTTGAAAATCCTGTCCACTTACCACATTATTTTTTAATATTTTATTTATTTCATTTTATAAGTTTATTGCCTGCATGTGTGTAAGTGTACCCCTGTCCTGCAATGCCTGGGGAGATCAGAAGAAGGCAGCAGATCCCCTGGAACTGGAGTTATGGATGGTTATTAGCCACCATGTGCTGGGAATTGAACCTGGGTCCTCTGCAAGAGCAGTCAGTGCTCTTAACCACTGAGCCATCTCTCCAGTCCCTACCACACGGTTTATTTTCAAGTCTAGCTTGAAAAGATATCATTGTGCTATTGTTATATGTATTGTCCTGGTCTGGCAGCATTTTTTTTTTTTTTTTTTGGACAGGGTCTCAGTATGTCATCAGGCTAGTTTTAAACAGCTCTTGCCTTAGCCTTCTAAGTGATGAGATCACAGGTATGTACCCATGCCTGTTAAGATTTTCAAAAACATTGTATTTCTAGCCAGGCATGGTAGAACATGCCTATAACTTTAGCAGCCTGTAGTTCCAGCACGTGGAGGCCCAAATAGGAGGATGCAGAGTTCAAGATCACCCTAGGTTACATAATGAATGAGACATTGTGTCAGCCAATCAACAAACAAACAACAGAGCAAATGAAGCAAAACTAAAAGCAGTATATTTCCAATCAGCACTTCATTCACCGTGCTAAATGCTGGTCAAACACTTAAAAAATGAATGAATGGATCAAATATAGGTATATGAGTACCAGCATTTCTAAACTCACTCCAGGCCTGAGTAAAATAGTGCTTGGCTTTCAGTGAATGAATTAGTGAATAAATAAATTTCTTTATTCAGTTCACCAACTGTTACGAGCTTCAGAAAGGAGTGCTTTCCCCAGTGGTCTTCACCTACCTCTCTTCCAAGAATTGGTTAGGTAAATAGAACAGAAAGATCTCTGTTTTCTCATCTATGCCTTGAATGCGGCTGGGTTTAAAGCAGCTGTCAGTCCCTGAACTATGCTCTCTGTCTTCTGTATTTCTTCAGATGCATGTGACATCACATTTGACCCAGACACAGCACATCGTTATCTCCGGCTGCAGGAGGACAACCGCAAGGTCACCAATACCACACCCTGGGAGCACCCCTACCCAGACCTCCCCAGCAGGTTCCTGCACTGGCGGCAGGTGCTGTCTCAACAAAGTCTGTACCTGCACAGGTATTATTTCGAGGTGGAGCTCTCTGGGGGAGGTACTTATGTTGGTCTGACCTGCAAAGGCATTGACCGGAAAGGGGAGGAACGCAACAGTTGCATTTCTGGAAATAACTTCTCTTGGAGCTTACATTGGAATGGAAAGAAGTTCACAGCCTGGCACAGTGACACAGAAACACCGCTCAAGGCTGGCCCTTTCCGGAGGCTCGGCATCTATGTCAACTTCCAAGGAGGAACTCTTTCCTTTTATGGGGTAGAGCATAATGCCATGACTCTGATTCAAAAGTTTGACTGCAAGTTTTCAGAGCCAGTCTATGCTGCCTTCTGGCTTTCTAAGAAAGAAAACGCCATCCGTATTGTGGATCTGGGAGAGGAACCTGAGAAATCAGAACCATTGTCTGTGGAGGCTGCTCCCTAGATTCTAGGGTCTACTTCCCAGACCTTTGCTAACTACGATGGCGGGGCAGCAGCTTTGTACCCTGAGGAGGACTTGGGGATGGAAACATCTACGCTCAAGAAATCATATGGGTCAGAAGTGAGGCTTTCCAGCTGCTCTTAATGCTGCACAGCACTATTCTCCATGTGACTGCAGAAACTCTAAGTCATCAAAGCCTCTCCCCAAGTCTTCTGGTGATAATCTCCTGTCAGCTCAGGTGATTGTCAGCCTTCACTCAGAATTCATAACTAGGACTTTTCAGAGCATGAACAAGACTGCAGAGGATACAATTAATGGCAAACTTCATTGCTGTGCATTTCCTATGTACTGGACACCGTTCTGAGTGCTTCTTATGTGTTAGTTCACGTCATCCTCATGGGGTATCTATGTTGTCCTCATGCTGAAAATGGGGAAACTGTGGCTCAGGGTGGTTGGTTAGTTAACTTGCTCAAGGTCAGTCTGGGTATAAAGTGAGGGGAAGAGCTGGGCTTCAACTCTGGACGGGCTGTTGCTGAACTTGTGGCTGCCATGTTATATGCTTTGCTCATTAGAGCATGACTGTTGTATATAAGGGAATAGACCCCATATGAACTACATAGCAGAGAAACAGCATCTTCCACACACCTTTAGAGTTTGCTCATCTTTCTACATGTGCCAGGCCAAACTTGGCCATCCAGCCTGGCACAGTCCAAGCACTCATCCCTCACAGCAGCGTTTTCTGCTCCTGGTCATTGAGGATTAGCACACATTCTAGTGGGACTCTCTCGGGAAGGGTCTATATCCTGTCTTCTAAAGTTACCTGGACTTTAAGGACTTGTCAGATTTCTTACGCAAAAGGAGCAATTCTTTAAATATTGATGGTGGTGCTCATTTCGCCTACGTGCTATTCCTGGTTTTCTGCCACATTTCCCACTCCCATGATTCCCAGCAAGCCCCCTCCCCTGCTTGATGATTTCATTCCCTTTTGACAGATGACAAACATTCATCAAGCCTTCATAAAAATGAAAAATCATGTTAAAATGGGTTTCTAAGGACATACCCTAAAGTCCTTGGCAGGATTTACCAGAAATATTACTTCCGTGTCTTTTCCTGCTTTGTGTCAAGGCAAATCTCTTCCTGTTCAACCAGTCTGGCAATCCTATCTCAGCAGTGTATTACTTTAGTTACTTGACTTGCTTCTAGGACTCTGCCTTATATGTCTAATGACTGAAGAGTTGTACAATTTAAATGCTTTGGCTTCATTACTTCGTATGACTGCTGTGAGCTGAGAGACTTTCAATTCATGATCTTCCATCTAGTATAGTCTCTCTCTTGTGTAGCAGAATCAATGGTTTTTCTAAAGTCTGAACCATGTTAATAAATACACTGCTTATGGTAGGGCCAAATCCTGAATGTGGCAGCACTTGGTCAGTCCTCTGTGCTGAGGAATATGCAAGTTACTTCTTGATAGAACTATGCAGTGCTGTGGTTCACCTTTTGCCCCTTTTTTCCACTGGATGCAATGAAAGATATTTTTCTTTTTGTTCTTCCTCCTTTTATTTATTTGAGATAGGGTCTAACTATGCAGCCTAAGCTGGCCTGGAACTCACTACATATCCTAGGCTGGCTTCACATTCAGAATCCTCTTGTCTCAGCATCCCCAAGTGCTGGCACTATATATCTAAGTTACTGGTGCAGTACCCAGCTCAGGGAAGGGTATTTTCAGTGGCAGAAATCAATACATACTACATCTGAATTCTTTTGATCTAGCTGTTAAATAATACCCCCAAAAGAGAAAATCCTATCATCTTGGCCTGTTCTTTTTTAAAAATTAAGTTTCTTTGCTTTGAATTTTGCTTTTTAATTAATACACAATAACATATACTTATGGAGTTCAATATGGTATTTAAATATATGTTTGCAATGTATAATTTGCATAAACCCAAAAGGGCAACTGGCATATCCATCCCCTCAAATATTGTTTTAGTAAAGAACATTCAAAATTCTTTCTTACAGCTATTTTGAGATAGGTCTGCCTTGTTTTTTTTGTTGTGGTTGCTGGTACTTGCCATTTTAATTCTCATGGAATATTTGATAAACCATTTTAGAATTCTGCTATAGATTAATGTCAAGTTTACAAGTCTATTGTTTCCAGGATCCTCCTCTTCCCTTCCCTTCTCCCTCCCTCCCTCCCTCCCTTCCTTCCTTCCTTCTTTCCTTCTTAGCCCAGGCTGGCTTGAACTTGTGATCTTCCCACTTCAGTCTTACAACAAAAACCTGGGGTTAAGCTGTGGGCCACTATACCTGATTTTTTCTTAAACAAACAACCAACAACAACAAAAAAAAAACCCCAAGGCTGGGCATGGTGGCACATGCTTTTAATCCTAGCACTCAGAAGACAGAGGCAGGTGGATCTCTGTGAGATCAAGGCCAGCCTGCTCTACACAGTGAGTTCCAGGCCAATTGTGGCTATAAAGAGACCCTGTCTCAAAAAGACAAAAATAAAATAAAGTAAAGAAATTTTGTCTGTCTTATTTCTCTATGATTCTCTCCAATTTCTCAAAGATTCCATCAGTGTCCTGAAATGTAATTTGGTTAGGTCAAAATACCAAAACCCATATGAAAAGAGCCAGTTAGCTCTGCTTTAACCTGGCTTGGATTTCATTGCTCTTTTGGGTTTTTCACCCCTTTGTTTTCAGGTTCAAGACTCTCTTTTCCAAAAGGTATTTTATTAATTCTTTGAGACCTTCATAAAGTATATTTTGGTCATGTCAAGATTTATCAGTGTGCAATGAAAAGCTTGCTGTGTTTGCTTGCTTTCTGTCATTGCCTTAAGTGGTGGTTACATCATTTTCTTTTTCTTTGAAAATTAAGAACTATCTAGAACAAACAAGTAAAAAACAAGGAAAGCAAAAAATGAGTGAGCAAAAGTCCATTTTTATACTTGCAACATCCTTCCCTCGCCATGGAAGTGTATGTGTGTCAATCACAGCTCCATTGTGCAGACTTACCTAAAAAAACAAAACAAAACAAACCTGAACTCAAGAGGAACTCCCTGGGATGCAGTTAGAATGCAATTTTAACCATTGCCCGATTTATTCTTTTCATAAACATTTTATTGCATTTATTTGTCTGGGGAGGGGCATGCCATGGCAAGAGCGTGGCGATCAGAGGACAACGTTCAGGAATAGTTCTCCCCTTCCACCACATGGGTTCAGGAACAGAACTCAGGTCATCAGGCATGGCAGCAAGTGCCTTTACCTATGGAACCATTGTCATCTTAATTAATTCTTTAAAAACTTTTCTTAAAATTTTGTTTTGGATATATTTCTTTTTATTTTATGTGTATGAGTGTTTGGTACCTGCAGATACCAGAAGAGAGCATCAGATTCCCCTGGAACTGGAATTACTTTTAGAACAGCTACCCTGTGGGTTCTGGGAACCCATCCCTGGTCCTCTTCAAGAGCTGCTGGTGTTCTTAACCACTGAGCCATCTCTCTACCGGCCCACCCCCGACGCCCAGCCAGTTAATTTGTATCTTTGCCTTTTGAGACAAAAATCCATGTGGTGTTATTTTCCTGGAATCTCATCATTAGGCCCCACCTTCCCACATTGTTGCATTAAGTGCTGAATTTCCAACACATGCTTTCTGGAAACCACATTCAAGTCATAGCACTTTTCAACCTGGCTCAGCATGTTTGGGGAGTGAATGTCTGAAAATCAAATTGAATCAACATATACAGTATTTATAACATACACTCTATTGTGCTAGATTAACACAGAAAACTAGCCGGGTCTTTTGATCACAAATTAAATTATTGCTTTAAATTGAAGTGAAAATCACAGGTGAAGAGCTAAAGAGGAGTCAAGGATTTGAGACAATAATAGAGTCTTCACAGAGGTTGGAGAGATGGCTCAATGGTTAAGAGCACTGCCTGCTCTTGCAGAGAACCTGGGTTCAGTTCTTAGCATCTATATGACAGCTAACAACCATCCGTACGTCCAGTTCCAGGGGATCCAATGCCTCTTCTGACCTCCACGTACTTTGCGTGATATGGGTGCACTTACTTAACTCTTCTGGGACTTAGTTTCTTCAGAAACTAATGGATGTATTGAACTCCCCACAAGAGGTCAAATCTCTCAGCAAGCAACCAGCTCTATAATCACTGTTATACTGAACAGAGAGCTAGAGCCTATAAAAAGCTACAGAAGTAACAGCTTCCAGACACCCACCACTCAGAAGGCATCTTGATCTCTGGTGACTCCTTAAGCATGAGCAAGAACTTTTAGTAATAAATCAGCCAGGCACACACTCAGACTTTGGGTCCTCTATCTGTCTTCAAATATACCTTTGTTGAGGTTCTGATGAGGTCTTTGGGTCCCCTCCCCCCCAAATAGCCAGATATGTTTTAAAATTAAGAAAAAGTAGAAAGGAGTTTAACATCTTAATACTGTTTTTGAAGGGCATGTCTTACTTCTTATTTCAGTCGCGGCAGCCCTGAGATACAGATTTTGTTTTCTCTGTTCTGTGACATACAGATGAAAAGCTAGCAGATCAGAAGTTCAGTAACTCGCTCTAGGTCACTGGACAAGAAATCATGAAGGAATTAAACTTGCATGCTTATGTCTAACATAAAGTTACAATCACTGCTTCGTTGATGTATGTTAGTCTCACAGATTAAAATCCGAATTTACTTAAACCTTTAAAAACAAAGTACCTTTGATGGTGGCACTTGCATGGTATCATCCTCTCCTTTATGTCTTCAGACAGTTTGCTTTGAGCCTCCCTCTTTCTTGCCACCTCCTTTGTCAGTGAATCAAATGTTAATCCTCCCTGCCTTTTCTTCAGATAGCTCTTCATATAAAAGAGACTGGGCTTTTAGAGGCAATCTCATTTCTAAACAAATCTGTCCCCTACCGTGGCCCCAGGATGCACCTCTAAAGCAACCGTGATGTCTTCTTTCAGCCATTCTAGCCTTCAGGCAAATGCACTAGAATCCATCCTGTATTATTACACTGGAGTAATAGTGAAATAACAGCAGCAGCAAATGGACTTACAGATTTTATCCAGTCCTACATGGTAGCTATAACTTATTACCTACTTTAATATCTTCAGATCTCATAAGTGGAGAAACTGTGGCCCAGAGAAACTATGTGGCTTGCTCAGGATCGCATAGTTAAGACCCGAACCTCATCTTGTGTAAAGGAGGAGAATTCCCTCAGCGTGCCTCAGTGACTTGTTAGTTCATTTTCCAGTGATGCCCACCCCCGGCTTTACTGGGCATTTTTAAAAATTTCAATCTACGAAAAGCTGAAAGACAAAGCATAGAAAAAAGGAACACATATATTCTTCATTCACATTCACTATCACCATCTGGTTACGTTTGCTGTTGAATATTTTACAAGGCTTAGTGAGCAGGAGTCAGCTGTTGGCTTGTGTTTCTCTGAGAGGCCCTGTGCATATGGGTTTGGCTCTAGTGGTCCAAGTCTTACCCCTGGGAGCGTGATAAGTCAAAGCTGAAGGGAAAGTAAAGGCTTAGTGAGCAGGAGTCAGCTGTTGGCTTGTGTTTCCCTGAGAGGCCCTGTGCATATGGGTTTGGCTCTAGCGGTCCAAGTCTTACCCCTGGGAGCGTGATAAGTCAAAGCTGAAGGGAAAGTATCTCAGGGAAGAGATACAACTTTCACATTCATGTCATTTTTCTTTTAAAAGCTACACACCCACATACCTACACATATTATCTCTTTATATACATCTCAATGTAGTGTGTATACACATACACACAAACATTGTAGCAGACATTGATTGTCTCAGATAATTCCACTGAGAGCCTAGTAGCTCCCCTGTATCTGTAGTTTTGCTTTCTGGGGTTTCAGTTACTTCCTGTCAAGCCTGTTCTGAACCATTGGTTCATCATCACAAGGGTGAACCTGAAATCTCAGCAATTGGGAGGCAGCGACAAAAGGAACATGAGTCTGGGCTACACAGTAAGACCCTGTCTTCAAAATCTTTTTAAAAAGCGAGTGTAGGGGGGAATCAATGAGTACGCAAAAAGATGAGTACACAGTCCACTGTTTTGAAGGAGACTGCATTCACATGCTTTTATCACCTATTTTATATTCTTCTATTTTATGTCTGGTTATTGTTGAAAATCTCTTTCTCTGCCCAATTTATCAATGAAACATTATCATGAGTATATATGTGTAGGAAAAAACACATTTTATAGGATTTGATGCTATCCTGTGGCTTTTGCCATCCACTGAGGTCTTGGAATGTACTCCACACGGATAAACAGACACTCCTTCAACAAAGATGATGACAGTACAGTGGCAGTCATTAGCATGGAGTGAGGGTGAGGTAAGAGCCAGGCAATCTTCTAAGTGCTCGCTCTCCCATTTCATCCTCACAACACTTCTATTAAGTGGAAATTATTACTGTCTCCATTTTTCAGATGAAGAAACTGAAAGACAGACAATTAAGTAACTTACCTGTGTTCACAGAGCTAGGAGCAACTGGGCTGGGGTCCAGGCTCCCACAGTCTTTACTACCCTGTTTTATATGGATGGGCATATGATTGAGGCGAGAAGCCAACTCTTATCTCTGACATATCCCTAAGCCAAGTGAAATTATCTACACTGAAGAGTGGTTCTCTGTAGAGATTTCTGGTTAGCATTTGGAAGCAGTTAAATGACTTCCACTTATGTTTAATATTTGTGGTTTTACTTTGGTGAAACTTCTTAAGAAATTGAATATAATATTCAGGATGTTGGAACACTCATTTTATAATGGCTATAAACATAAAAAAGATTACATCTATGTTTATATTTGTGAATATTTAAAAGTCTTTAATAACAACTGCTGAAACTTAATATCAATCTCCACAGATTTTTTTTCTCTAAAATGGGGCCATGTCAAATCCTTTGGTCTTTGATTTCTTATTCCTATCCCCTCCCCCTTAAACTTCATTGCATGTATATTTTTATGTAACCTGCTTCAAGTTATTTCTGGAAAAATAGGTTAAAAATTGCCTCTTTGGAATAATATAAAGAAAGAAAAAAGAAGGAAAGAAAGAAAGAAAGAAAGGAAGGAAGGAAGGAAGGAAGGAAGGAAGGAAGGAAGGAAGGAAAAAGGGGGGCCATGTATATTTTACATTTGGCTAACAACATTACATTTCTTGTTATAGAAATTAGATGACCAGCTCTTTCAGAATATACAGCAATTGCTTCTATCCATGGAGTGCCAGGCTTAGGAGATTTACGGTAAAGCCATGTTTCCAAGGAGGTCAGTACAAAAAGGCAGGCTTGTACAGGCAGTTTCTGGGACAGATAACTTTTCCATCCACCATAGTGGCTTCCTTTTTCTCCAGATGTTTATCACAGAAAGGGCTCAGAAAAGGATATTTCTCTGTGGGCCCTGTTCCTCTGGTGTTTGATGGTGTTCCTAACAGACAAGGATACAATGAACTGGTCATCTCAGAGTCATGGAAAATGTGGAACCGAGGCTCAAAAATGCCCCCTATTTTCGTTGTGAAAAGGGACCAGAATGGGTTCCTGTATGCCAGAAATGTGAAACCTGCATCTTGGCCTGGAAGATCTTTGCTACCAAAGAGTGGTTTCGGAGGGTCAACGATATATCCCAGAGGCGGTTTCTGGTCAGCATTCTGGGGCAGTTAAATAGCTTGAATCTGTTACACTATTTCCAAAACATCCTGCAGACTACCCAGGGGAAGGATTTCATCTATCACAGGTCCCGGATCAACCTCAGCAGGAAGGATGGGAAGGAGGAGGAGGAGGTGAAGTCCTCCTTGAACCAGATGTTGGATAAAACCTTGGGGCAGAAGATGAAGGAGATCCTGTACTGGTTTGGCAACAGCTCCCATCGCACCAAAGCAAATTACACTCTCATGCTGTTGCAGATGTGTGACCCAAAGTTACTGCTCACTGCTGCTGATGTGATCAGAGTCCTGTTAATGAAGGAGTTGAACGCTATCTCAGGTGAGAGCAGAAAGCCCTAAAGACCAGAGAGCAAGACTTGTGAAGCTTGTGAGGAGATGTGCGTGAAGACAGGCTTAGGTGAACAGGGACCAGGTAGAATGCAGGACATAGTTAGGTTCAATGAACCATATCCTGACACTCAGTCTTGTTTACCAAAGGAGAGACTCCTGAGTGTGATTTCCTTATAGAAAAATGTTGACTGAAAAATGCAGAGGGAAGGACAGCCCTTTCAACTTGTGGGGGGAAATGGATTTCTGCACCCCTTCAGACCCAGAATCCACTGCATGCTCATGTCATTTCTTGCCTGCATTAGGGACTTGACTGAACATGGGAGGGATGTGCAGGGAAACCGTGAAATTATTCTACTTCTCAGTTATTGTGTATAGAAGTGAAGCCAAAAGGATAAAACTTAAAGCTTTAAAAATTTTTAATCTTACCATAGTCATTGCTTAAGCATAAAACCAAATCTTGGAAAAGGTGTATTAGAGGCCAAAGGTGGCTAAAAGACTGAATTAGCCCAGGGCAGTAGTTTTCAAGCTGTAGTTTCCATTTGAGTCTCCAGTAGGCCTTGTTAAAATATAGACAAATGATATTTGTTGGAATGTGAATCAACAGGCCTGAGAAGTTTTGGGCCGGTACAGATGTTGCTGGACCTTGCTGGGAATCTTCTTGGTATGGAGTATTGACGAGTTGGTTCTGGAAAGCAAAAGAAACAAGAAGAGAGGTCAGAGAGTATTGATTAGGAAGGGTCTAGGAGGGGAGGGTTCAGCAGGAGAAGGACAGGTTTAGCTGGGGTGGGAAGGGAGTGGCAGGGGTGGTCATCTGAGGAATTTTGGATTTGAGCTCTTGGAAGTGGCTAATTTTTTGTCTCCAAAAGATGCTTGAGTTATGATCATATTATACTTGTAGATTACTTTTATTCTTTCTTTTTTTTTTTTTTCTGAGCAGAGGTCTGTTTCCTTTGCTGGCTTAGAAACTTGACACTTTCAGCCTGTCTCCCAAGTGCTGGGATTACAGGCATGCACCACCACACATAACTTTCAAAAACGTTTTAAAGCTAGATGATCTAGGATGTGGTTCGATCCCTACGTTTGTCAATGAGTTTCTTTCATTGTTTTTAAAAAAGGTTTATTATTTTTATTTTATGTGTATGAAGGTTTAAATACATGCATGTATTGTTTATCACATGTGTACCTGGTGCCAGAGTAGGCCAGAAGAGGGTGTCTGATCATTTGGAACTACATTCACAGATGGTTCTGAGCTATTATGTGGGTGTTGGGAACTGAACCTGGGTCCTCTGCAAGAGCAGTGTCTGTTCCTAACCACTGAGCGATCTCTCTAGTCTCTCACCTGGTTTCTTTGGTGTCAACGATACTAAAGCATGAGACAATGGTGAAAAAAAGGAAAAAATCCTATGCATCAAAACTGAGTTAAATTAGAGGTCAAGATGTACTATGCCCTAATTTTGTAATAAGGAATTCTAAGTCCAGTCACACACGTTCGTCATCCAGCATGGCACTATAAGACCAGCATCTGTCCCCTGCCCTCAGAATCCTTCCCTGTAGAACACACACGTCATGTCTGTGGTTCTATTTCAAAGATTTTATCATCCACTATAGGAACTAGCCATTTACATCAGGGTTGTAGAAGCCCAGTTATAGGTTGTGGCCACCTTCTTTGCTTAGGAAAGCATCTCTTTTAAAATGCTTAAATTTCAAAGTTGGGTATGGTGGCGCACGCCTTTAATCCCAACACTTGGGAGGCAGAGGCAGGTGGATCTCTGTGAGATCTGTGAGATCCAGGCCAGCCTGGTCTACATAGTGAGTTCCAGGTCAGCTGGGCTTACAAGGAGATGCTGTCTAAAAAATAAAAACAAAACAAAACAAAAACAAATAAAAAAACAAAAAACACTTCAACTTCTGGGTTTGGAGAGATGGTTCAGCAGTTAAAAACAGGTTCTAGAGAGCCTGAGTTTGGGTTCCTTGGACATATATACACATAATTAAAAATAAATCTTTAAAAAATTTTTTAAAATTTTATTTTATGTGTATGCATGTATTGCCTGCATGTAGGTCTGTGCACCCATGTCGTGCAATGCCCGTGGAGGTCAGAATGGGCTGTCGGATCCCCTGGGACTGGAGTTATGGACAGTTGTTAGCTGCCGTGTGGGTGCTGGGTCTTCTGCAAAAACAACCAGTGTTTCTAACCACTGAACCATCTCTCCAGCCCCCAAATAAATCGTTTTAAAAAAGTTAAAATTTCTAATTTGATGCAAGGACAGTTACTCAGATTGTTGAAGAAAACCAACAAGACCTTCAGGAGACAGGCCTTCCTTAAGCTCTCCTTTATGTCTGTCTGTCTGTCTGTCTGTCTGTCTCTCTCTCTCTCTCTCCCCTTGGGTATAGGATTCTAATAAATTGTGCATTATAGATTTGCAGGTACAGTCTTAAAGGGAGGTTTTCTGAGATTTTTTTCATGGAAACTCAGAACCTTCAATAAAAGCCATAAATCCCTAATCTGTTTTGTGTTTATGGCTAGCTCTCTATATTTGTGGGGAATTGATTCCAGAAATTCAAAGTCCCTAGATTCTCAAGTTTTTAAAATATAAGACAAATGTAGTATTTGTATAGAATCTATACAACCCTTCCATGTACATTATGTCACACCTAGTTAATTTAGAAAACTGAACACAGTACAAATGTTATGCTTAGAAAATAATGACAAAAAGTCTGTGCATGTTTAGTACATACGCAATTTTTTATTTGCAATTTGTGATTGGTTGAATCTGAGCAATACTGGGGACTGGCTATAGTTAAACAAAATGAGGAAAAATAAGACCATTTCTCTCCATTTCATTTCTCTCCATATACCTGCTTCAAGAGTGAACTTGTCTTGGTTTTTTTCTTCTTCAGGGTTCCATCAAGACTGTTCTGATGTATCATTCTACCCTGAACAAAACGACAGTCCCACATCTGACACCTCGCATGTCTACTGGACAGTTAGACCCATACCCTTATCCTTCCCGCTGTCCCAAACTGCACGAAGTAAAAGTGTGATTGAAAAGAGGGAGAGACAAGCAATGATGGGTAAGTCAGGTGTTAACAAGAAGGCTAATACAGAGTTAGATAAGTTAGATGGTTCCACTTTTAGGCTTTTAACTTCATGATGAGTCTATTGGGATACAAGACAGAGAACATCTAGACTCAATAGTTTGACATGGATTTTTGACTTTTCAGTGGGTTTTGGGGATAGTAAATGCAGTTTTTTAAAATTGTTTTTTATTTGAGGTCTTTATATGTAGCTCAGCTGGCCTCAAAGTCATGCTCCTCCTTCCTTCATGCCTCCTCTCATAGTCATAGGCATGTGCCACCATGCCAGCTTAAATGCACATTTGAATGATAGTATTTTTGATTCATGATGAGGTTTTCAGGGAAGGACCCCATGGGAGTTAAATTGTTTCTGTATATTCAAGGTTGGAAAGTCTCAATGAAATTGTAGGCACTGGCTGGGCAATAGAATCTGGGGATAGCAGACTTATAAACTAACTTTCAGCTAGCATCTATAAAGTGTTGGGGTCTTAAATTATTTTCCTCAGTTCATTGTCCCAGCTGGTAAGGGGAGAATAGGATAAAAACTGAACAGCATTATCCACAAGGCCTGTGTTTACACTGGTCCTCCACAGTATCTCTGAGATACACTTGAAAATAGAGACTAGAAAGGAACTCCCAAGACTTCCCTTCGACTTCCTCCTCTGCCCTAGCCACACTCTACCCTCTATCCCTTGAACTCTGGTATGGTGTGCTATAGGCTTCTAGAGTTCAGCTTACCAGTGGCTGCTTTTGAAGTCTTAGATTCATTTTGAGAAGGAAAGTAATGCAGTGAGGAATGTAGTTCCTGACCTCAAGGGCCTTCTAAGCTGGTTTCTGAAGCAAGATACACTCGTAGGTCACTTAGCCTAAGTTGGCCTGCAATTTGCTATGGAGCTGGCTCTGGCCTTGAACTTGCAGTCTTCTTGCCTGAGTCTCCTAAGTGGCGGAGTTATGGGTGTGTATCACTATGCCTAGCTAGGCACGTGCTTTGTAAAATGCATTGCCAGTTGACTGTGCCATTGTGTGAACATCATAAACTGTGCTTCCTTAAACCTGGATGGCATAGCCTACTGTCTATGGAGGCAGTGTCACATATGCTGCCCATCATTCTACATGAAACAAGCATGGGAAATGCAAAACACAGATCCTAAAACACTTTTTAAATGAAAAACTTCAGGCTGGAGAGATGGCTCAACAGTTAAGAGCACTGATTGCTCTTGCAGAGAACCCGGGTTTGAGACCCAGCACCCACATGGCGGCTATGGACTGTCCTTAATTCCAGTTCCAGGGGAATCCAACACCCTCTTCTGACCTCCGCAGCACTGCACGACACGGGTGCACTCACATACATGCAGGCAATACACTCATACACATAAAATAAAAATAAAATATTTTTTAAAAATGAAAAATCACATTTTAAAAGTACACAGGTCAGGTGTGGTGGCACATGCCTTTAATCCTAGCAGAGGCAGGTGGATCTCTGTGAGCTGAAGGCCAGCCTGGTCTACATAGTGAGCTCCAGGCCAGCTGGGGCTATAGGGGGACCCTGTCTAAAAAGACAAAAGTTAAAAAATAAAAGCACACAGAACAGTGCAGTAAGTATTCACATAACCATCATCTAGCTTCAGCAGTTATCAAGGTTTTACCAATCTTATTATTTTTATGATGCTGGTTATTGAACCCAGGACTTCACATTCGCTAGATAAGTTCTCTACCACTGAGCTGCACCTCTGTCCCTAGCAGTCTTATTTGTCTCCTTCCCCCTTTTAAATTTGTTTAAAGGTTTCTCTTACTGGGGCACTGTGTGTGTGTGTGTGTGTGTGTGTGTGTGTGTGTGTATTTTGTGGATCCTTGGGGAGGCCAGAGGTCAACATCAGGTATTTAGCTCAATCGGTCTACATTTTTTTGAAACAGGGTCTCTGGCTGAAGCTGGAACTCATTAATATAGCTAGACTGGCTAGCTGTGAGCCCCTGGGATTCTCCTGTCTCTGCCTTCTCAGTACTGGGATCACAGGCATATGCATTGCATCTGGCTTTTATGTGGGTACTGGGGATTGAAACTCAGGTCCTTGTGCTTGTACAGCAAGCACTTTATGGACTGAGCCATTTCCCCAGCCCTTATTGGGCTATTTTTAAGGAAATTCTAAATAAGACACCATTTCTTTGATACTATAGGCATCTTGAACTGAAAAGGTTGAAAAGCACTTATATATTTGAATCAGGGGGGTTCTGCCTTCAAGTAGAAAAAGAGAAGAGTCAGAGGCCTAAGAGTAGACATGAAGGAGGTTTAGCTTCTCTGAGGATTTCTTCTGGGGCTAGAGTTACTACAGAGTCAAATCAACCATCTACCTTTCTTTGGCTTTACTCTAGAAAGACAAGGGAAGAATTCACTCCAGTGTATTTCTGAGATGAATAAGCTGTTTTCTGGAAAATCAGGCACATGCCGGCTGGGGGACGATCCATGCAACCCCCTGCTAAGCCTGGATGATGTCAGGATTCTGTCTTCTGGGTTCAGCAAACACCGGGACTTTATCCGTAACCTGCCCCTCCACATCTCCAAGTACATTCTAAGTATGCTGGGTAGATGAAGGGACTTCTCCGAGACTTCCCATCCGAGCCCTGGGGATTCTGGGGGTTTCTGGGTCTATCTTTCTTCTTTTTCTCCCAGGAATGCTGGATAAGAACAGTCTGAACAGGTGTGCCTCTGTGAGCCAGCACTGGGCCATGCTGACCCAACAAGTCATGGTGGACTTGTCCATGCAGTCCTTCATTCAGAACCAGATTTCTGTCTTGCAGGTACTGGGGGGCTGAGAGGGCATGTCGGAAGACTGGCTTTATTTCCACATTAAGGTTGAGCCCTTGTGTCTCCCCGGTAGAGCCACCACTGACTACATTTGCTTCCAGTTCCTCATGCTCCAGACTCCCCATGAGCCAGTATCTGTCCTTCCACTGTCAGTGTATCCAGCAGAGACAAGTGTAGAAACCTTTTGAGTAGGCTGGTGAGATGGTTCAGGGGTTAAGGGTGCCTGCTGCTAAGCCTGTTGACCTGAGTTCAGTCCCCAGGGCCGACATGGTGGAAGGAGAGAACCAACTCCTACAAGTTGCCCTCTGATTACACATGTGCTGTGTGTGGCACATGTGCCTACCCACCAATACACACACACATACACACAAAATAAATAACTGCATTTTTTTTTTTTTAAGAAACAGAAACCTCTCCGGAACACAGAGGCTTCTTAACCCTTGCAGGGCTGGGGCTATAGCCCAGTGGTGGAACAATTGTCTAGCATGGACAAAGCTCTGGGTTCCATCTTTAGAAATACAAAACCCCAAACAAAACAAAACTTACCGAAGCAGATAATTCTCTCCTCCTCACAAGGAGTTATAATGGCTTATAGAATCAGAAAACCATAGATGGGCTTCTGAACCAGCTTCAAGCTTATCCCGAAGTTTGCAAGGCCAACGCATGGCCTTAATATACAATTCTTTCAATTGTAAGCATCTTCAGAATTTTCACTTCTGTTTCTTGCCTGAAACCAAACCCTAAACCATGTAGTCTTAGTAGTTTGGTTTCTTTTCCTCCCCCAGCAGAAGTACATGACAAAGGAAGAGAAGACACAGGCACAGTAAGAAGAGCCATTGTCTGGAACTGTCAACCATCTCATGCTGGTCTCCTTCCAGACACCTGGCATTATCTTTTTTGATTTGGCCATGCACAGTCTTGGTGTAACTGGTCAGTCTTGGCCCTTACTTGCTTAACTAGGGCTTGGTCATCTTCAGGTTTTGCTAAGGACTAGTTTTCCCCACTTTCTCCTGGAGAATAGGAATGAAGAGGAGTCACTTCTTGTTGTTTTTGTTGTTTTTAATATTTAAGACTGGGGATGTAGTGCTTGATTAGCATGTGCAAGGCTCTAGGTCCAACCTCTAGCATTACGAAATATTTTTCTTGAACTGAGTAGGAAACATTGTACATTATTTATCATGTAGAATATATTGTTTTGAATATATATGCATTGTGGAATAGTTAAATGTTGCTTCCTAAGACATGTCACCTCCCATAGTTCTCATTTTTGTGGAGAAAGAACTTTGCATTTTTCAAGACTACAATATATTGTCATTAACTATTGTGGCCTTACTGTATAGCAGACTTATTGATTCGATCCCTCTTCTGTAACCATAATTACATATCCTTTGATCGACACTTCTGTCCCCTATTCTCCTATACCCACCTCAGTCTATTCTGTTTTCTATTTTTATAAGATCAACTTTGTCAGATTCCATACAAGTAAGATTATTTGTCTCTATGTAACTGACTTATTTAACATAATTCTCCATGCACATTGTTACAAATGATAGGATTTCTTTCATTTTATGGACCATTGTATTCCATTGTATACACACACACACACACACACACACCACTTTATCAATTCTTCTATTGATGGATGCTTACCTTAGTTTTATACTTTGGCTATCATGAATATTGCTACAATATACAAGGGAGTGCAGATGTTCAAGTGTAGTCATTTTGTCCCTTTTTCCCCACACAGGGGTCCTACACAAGGGGAATAGATCCTAGTTATGCCAGCAAGGTCTCTATCCCAGTTCCTAAAATAGCAGATGATGGAAAGTGTACGTGTTCAAAAAATCAGAAGTGGAAACTGAGAACAAAGGTGTGTTTCAGAGATGTCTGGGGTAAGTAGTTGAAAGTGTCATGTTCCTATTGGCTACTGGAGATGACACAGGTAAGGACTCGGGGTGATGGAGATACCATTCCCTGAAGGACACCAGAGTGCTTCTGTGTTGCTACCCACAGATAAGTCATTCCCTTGTCACAAGCCTTGACTTCATCACCTGTTGGACGAGTGGATTGATTCAGCCATCCTCCCAAGGTTCTGTGGCTCTAAGTCATCTAGTGCAGGTTTCAGAGGCCAGGAGCAGTGTCAGCCATAGGGATTCCCATATGTCCTAGGAGTCCATGCATCTCAAGGCTACTTTAGCCTGCTGCTCTGGAATGAGAAGGGCATGAGAGAAGAGCCAAGTCTGCTCAGGGATGCCGGCTTTTCCATCTCTTACCACCAGGTTCATTCTGATGCCTCGGTAGCATCAGAAGGGAGACTCCATTACTTATAACTCTCCCCACCAATTCTTAGGCAATAGTAAAGACTAAGTGGAAGAAGTTTGGAGCATCTGACTATCAAGGCATGGATGTTACCCCTAAGATCACTGGATTTCCTCTCCATCCTCTCTGCTGGAGATCCTCCTATTCTGAAGTCTCATCATTTGGCTCTAAAAGGATGCTTAATGAGGGATGGTTTGTGAACCCTATTTACATACAAATTTTTGTGTGTGCCTGCATGAGTTTTCTGTGTGCTACATGCATATGGGTGCCCATGGAGGCTAGAAGGTGTCAGATCCCCTAGAACTGGAGTTAAAGGTGGTTGTAAGCTGCCTAATGTGGGTCCCGAGAGTCTAACCCACATCCTCTGCAAGAGCTTAAGTAAGCACTCTTAATTGCTGAACCATCTCTCCAGCCCCCTCCCCTGTATCCATTTTATAAATAAACAAATTGAGGCTCAGAAAACTCAAGGTCTTCCAGCTACCTGAAAAACAGAGGCACAAGTCAAACGTGTTCTTTCTAAGTCTTTCTCTTTTATGTCTAACAAGCTTCATGGACCCTCGATATGAGGCAGGTTGACATATTCTTCTGGGGAGAGATTTTTAGGTGGAAGTCTCTACTTGGTGAAAGACTGAGAAGAGTGAGTAAGAAATGGAGTCATCTGAGAAAGAGTGGAGGACAGAAGGGAAAGGCTAAAGTTTGAAGATGACTCTAGAAGAGATGTCCCCCAGACTGTCAGATACAAACACAATGTTGTCTTTGTTTTGTGATAAACATCCTTTCTTCCTGACCAGTCTAGTGTGGCTGCTTTTTCCTGCTCTTTAAGGGCTGGGAAGAGGTACAGAAGTTCAGTTTAGATCAGTTCAGTCATCTGTAACACAATTTATCATACCTGGCAAGCCATAGCTATAGAGGAAGTGTGTGATGAATAGATGGAGGGGAGGATAAAGGAAAAGAAAGAAGGAAGGAAGGGAGGCTGAGAAGCAAAGGGAATCACACCTGTTGAGATTTGATAAAATTTACTTTACCTCCCCGAGTCCCTGATATGCCATCTGTAAGACGATGAGGATACTGTGTAGGCAAATAGTCTACTTTCTATATCAGCTGTAAGGACAAATGAAGGTCAGGTGATGATTTCACACGTGCAGCATGATTTCACATGTGGCTGAGTTATTCTGTGTTACCAGGTACATGGACCAGAAATATGAAATTGTAATTCTTTCAAATGGTTGGTCAAAGGCACGTGTGATTCCATGTGTAAGCATGTCCTTTGTGAACTTATCTTCAGAAATGTTGTACTTTGGGCAACACTTGGAATTCAGCCTTGGAAGCTCATGAAACACGAATTATTAGGACGCTTATCTTAGAATTTTCTAACTCGTAGGTAACTTTAGTGCTTGTTCACTGGTCTCTCACTATCAACCCCGAACAGCAGCTACATCCTTGAAAGGAAGTGTCATGGACCTTGCACCCTTGCCAGGGAGAGTAGAGGGGGGAGGGGCAGTGCTTCTGGGACTCTGGGTAAACTCGATGCCATACTTTGACTCCAAGAATCTCCTCTTTAGAATGACTACAACCTGTGGACTGCATACCAGAACCAGGAAACTAGGCTGGTCCAGATGGAAGAGAGAAATGTTTTCTGTGGCACCTACAATATCCGCATTCTGTCTGATACGTGAGTACTGGTGTCAGAAGCTAGATCTTTAAGGACCTTTGAATTACCCCAGCCGGCACCTTCGGATTCTCTAGCCCTCTCTTGACTTGGAAAAGCAGCCCTCTCCCCTCTCAGGTTCCAGGCCTGAACTAGCATATGATCCTGTTCAGACAACAGATGTTTAATTTGCATCATTAAGTGCAAGAGCGAAGAGATGACAGTTTTCCTGTATACTTTTTAATATTGTGACCAACAGCTGTTATTACAGGTTATATACATGAACTATTTTATTCTTTTGAAATATCATTATTATTTCACTTCAATTTGGGAAGTTGATATATGCCAATTGGGAAGAAATCCTGCAAATGCCAGAAAGATAAATACAAAGAGAGAGAAACACAAGGATCTCCATTAATAATGTTATTGACAAATAAGCACCATTAATATTGAATTCTACACTCTAGAATTGCACATTTGCACACCCTATCTAAAGAAAATGGGATCATATTATATAGCTCTGTAACAAAATACAGCAAAATGAATATTAATGTTGTATTTTTAATAATTCCATCATGTTATATCATTTGGATATGCCAACAGAAGGCTTTTTTTAAGGTGAAGCTGGGATGGAACTCAGGGCTCACACAAGCTAGGCCTGCATATGCCTGTCACTGAGCCACAATGCCAGCCCTAAGAAGGCCTTTTAATAATGAGCTTTCTGCCGTATTTTAGGCCTAGGCCCTCTCTCTATATTCACAAGGTTTTATGGATGCCATCTCTGTTTTATCATTTATTTATTTTTATTTTAGTTTTAGGAGTGTTTGGTCTGCACGTATGCAAGTACACCATGTTCATGCAGTGCCTATGGAGGCCAAAAGAAGGGACCAGACCCGTGGAACTGGAGTTACAGATAGCTGTTAGCCACCATGTGGGTGCTGGGAAAAAAACGCAGTTCCCCTGGAAGAGCAGCAAGTGCTCTTAACCACTGAGCCATCTCTCCAGCCCACTCTGTTTCAGTTTTGATCAGTATGAGGATTTTTATGAGCAGCATAGTGATAGCTGCTCTAGAGACAAGAAATGATGGCACTCTAGATATGACACAAGGAATGAGGGCAGAAATAGTAAGAATTCCTGTTTACTTAGTGTACTTAATAATAATATCCCCTTTCACAATTAAAAATGTCTCAGTTTGGACAAATTATTTGGTCATCCTGTTGATATAATACCTATTTTCTAATAGTTTAATGATTGGAAAATCAATTCAACTTGCTGGGCATTATTGAACCATAAAGCTTATTGTGTGCAAGGTCCTGTATCAGTCTTCCTTGCATTTTCAATGGTACCAACCAGCATAGACTCTTGAGCCTAATAACTGCTCCTTGGATATTGGTAAAGGGTGAAAAAAACAAGAAGAAATACTGGGCATATAAGGGTTCCTAACTGTATTCCTCTCAAGTTTTCTATGGTTTTCTATGATTTCTAAGACTACTGTGGTCAAGTAAGTTTGGGAAATATCATGTATCCTATTCTCTCTTGGGGAAATTTAACACCCATTGGCAGAATATTTTAATTTTTTGTTTTTAGGTTTTAGAACTCCCTGACAGATTTTTTTCATAGTCTGAGGTAGGGTGCAATCACAGCCTGTTAGTCCTTGGCCTTGCTCTGGGAAAGACACTAACTCTTCTTTCATGCATAATCCATTCCGCATCAGGTGGGACCAATACAGAATCATACACTATACTGGGGGAGATCTGGTCGCTGTATCAGCTAACAGGAAGATTCACCTTCTGGACATTACACAAGCCAAGGAGACACCCATTGAGTTCCGAGGCCATGCAGGCAGCATTAGGGCTCTCTATTTGTGTGAGGCTCAAAACATTCTCCTAAGCGGGAGTTACGACCTGAGCATCAGGTGAGATCCTTGTCCTACATGGGGTCAGCCAAAATTAGGTGGCTTTTGGGAGAAGCACATATGCCTCTTCCTTTTTGTATTTATTTACAAGCTATCCTAAATTACATTGTTCATAGAATATCTACAAGGGTTGTTTTTTCTTTTTCTTTTTGGTGTGACAAAAGCCAAGGTTTTATGTACTGTCTAAACTTTGAGATAAATTTATAAGTTATCAGATGTTGACACTGTGAATCAGAAAAATAATCTTAGTATTCTTAGATGAAGACATAATTTATATTTCTTTTTATAGATTCCTTCAAGAAAAAGTAGTTTTATGGGTATGAAATATAATGTAGAAGCAAAATTGTGTTTAAAATGTACGTATTCATATATATTTTGTGTTTAAAGATTTATTTTGGGGGGCTGGAGAGGTGACTCACAATAGGAGCACTGGTTGCTCTTGCAGAGGACTCAGGTTGGATTCCCAGCACCAACATGTGGGCTAACAACTGGCAGAATCTCCAATTGCAAGGGATCCAGTGCCCTCCCTCTTCTGGTCTCCATAGGCATTGTATGCATGCAGTGCACTTACATACTTGTAGGCAAAGCACCCATACACATAAAATAAATAAATTTGTTTTTAATTATTACTTATGTATATGCATACATGTCTATGTGGAGGTATGTGCACATAAGTGCAGTTGCCCCAGAGACCAGAAGAGGATTGGATCACCCTGAAGTTGGAGTTACAGGCAGTTAAGAACTGCCAGACATGGGTGCCGAGAACTGAGTTCAGGTTCTCCGTAAGGACAGTGCATGTTCTTAACTGCTGAGTCATTGCTTCAGCCCCTATGTACTTCAGAGAATATAGTAAGTACTTGGTTATTTATTAGACTAAGAAAGAGCAGCACCCTTGCCTGACCCCTGTGCCTTTTCCTCATTCTTTGTTTCTTTTCTTCCAACCAGAGGTAATGTTATTCCCAAATTTTACATTGATTATTCTCTTCTATTTTTTTATAGTTTTTGCTTGTTTATATATTTTAAAATATTAATGAGTTTTATCCATTTATGAACTTAATATAAATGGGATTATACTTTGAAAATACTTGGTTCTTAACTTGGATTTTGTTTTGAGATTTATTAATTTGGTGTAGGTAATAGGTAATAATAGCTTATCATGGAGATAGCGTTTTACTGGATGGACATATTTTTGATGGACATTTGTGCTATTTCTGGTTTTTAATTCTAGAATGCTGCCACAGATCATCTTGGCTGTGTCACCTCGTACCCACATGCATGAGTTTGGGTTTTCTTTTCCTTATTTTTAAAAAAGATTTATTTTTTTATTTGCATGTATGTATGTCTGTGCCTATGTGAGTTCATATGCTTCATGAACATTCAAGTGCCCACAGAGGCCAGAGGAGGGCATTGGATCCCCAGGAACTGGAGTTATAGACAGCTGTGAGATGCTATGTGGGTGCTGGGAGCTGAACCTGGGTCCTCTACTAGAGTATTAAGTGCTTAACTGCTGAGCTATCTCTCCAGCCCCAGGTTTTGTTTTTCTTAAGAGGTTCGCTATTTAGTCTAGAGTGGTCTCTAACTCTGTGTAACCCAGGCTGGACTCAAAATCATGGCAGTCTTCTTGCCTTAGCCTCCTGAGTGCAGGGATTGCAGTCATGAGCCACCAGGTCTGGCTTTACGGTGTCTTTCTAAACGCCCTATTTATTTTTCCTTTTCATCTCTTGGTCCTAAATCCGCCTAAAGTTGATTTTTTTTCTGGCATCCTCCCAGTTTCAGAGGTTCTCCATTTGCATACCCAACACTCTGAGCACCATTCATGAAAAACACAGGCTTTACCCAACACAGGCTTATACTGCTGGCTGTGTCCTAAGACAAGCTTCTATATTTTTCTATTTCTCTGTTTTATTTCACTTTTCTGTCTTTAGTCAATACCACACTGTTTTAATTACTTTGTTTTTAAAATCTTTATATCTCATAGGGTAAGTTTCTTATCTGATCCATCTACTTCAGAGTGTTTTAGGTATTTGATTTTTGTTTCTTTTGGTTTGTTTTCATTCTTTTTTGGACGTTAGGTAAAGAGAAATGAGATGGATGTACATCTCAATTCATGCCATAAGATTATTATTCATCTGTTACCCTAAGGTTCATGGTGGGACAAATTCTGCTCTTTTCTTTTTTTATGTTAACAGCTGTAATATATATGTTTTGAGTTTTGGGAATAAGTTTGTGGAATTAAGAAACCATAACTAGGTATTTCATTTGGGCTACTTTGAATTTATAACTTCATTTGTGAAACTTCTTGATTTTAGATAATCTTTTTGTTTGTTTTTGTGTGTATGTGTGTATTTGTGTATGTGTGCACACATGTTCACATACCAGGGTACATGTGTATACATGTGGAGGCCAGAGGACAACCCTGGGTATCATTCCTCAGGCACTATTCACCTTTTCCTGTTGACACAGAGGCCTAGAACTCACCAAGCAATCTAGGATGGCTGGTCAGTAAGCCCCAGGGATCTATCACCTCCCCAGTGTGTTCAAATTACAACCACAGGCCACCAAGTTTGGCTATTTCTTTTTAATGTGTGTTCTAGGGATCAGCCTCATGGCCTTAGGCTTTCTGACTGAGCTAGCTTAGCTCCTTTCATTGATCTTTTGAAAACTTTAAGGTTTTCTTGTACATTGTTATCAAACCTCATAATCTTATTTCTAGTCTAAATGGTGTCATATACTCTAGGTGGATTTTTTAAACATTGCTGGATGGCTGCCATTATTGGAAAAAAGGAAAGAGGAAAATCATGCTTTTCTTGGGCTTCTTTCTTATATGCCAAATGTGAAAGAAAGCTCCACACCTCTGGATCAGATATGTCTGCTGATATGATCCAGGGTGCGAATCGATACACCTCATTCCAAAATTTTAAGCTTTCCTCTTTTGAAATCTTAAGTCCTCTGGATTTGAGTAGAGTTTTAAGAGAACGGATCTGACGTTTCCTTTGTCTTGATACAGAATTCCCCATTTTGAAGGGAAGATATTTATTTATTTATTATTTTGTTGTTGTAGTTGTAGTTGTAGTTTTAGATGTTTTTACAGCAGTCGGACACTAGAGGGCTGAAGCGCCTAGGCGAGTTACAAGCCCCTAGGTCAGAAAGAAAAGTTTGCAGTTTAAATCTTGGAGCCGCTTTTGGCTTCCAGGTGCCTGGCAGGGATTAGCTAATTTGCATTTTTACTGAATCCTGGCTGTCAGCTGCTTGCCTGAATGCTTGAGAGAAGGGAGAGAGCTGACTAGAGGAATTCTGCCTGACTCTAAAGCTTAGGTGGAAATCCCTGGAACTTTTTGGGATTTTTCTCTAACAGTGTTCAGATAGAAAAGTGAGGAAGTTTTTAGAAGAGAGAAAGAGATTAAACTACCTTCCTGAGAGGGAAGGGTACTCACGGATTCCTGGC